GATGGGAGTTCCAGGTAATGGTATTAATAGCGTACAGTGTTCACTTCCCGGCTGTGCAGGAAGCAAAGCGGTGTGCATCTGGAGAGTTACGAGTATAAAGTGGCAGTGGATGGCGTCAGAAAGCACGTCAAATGTTGTTAACGGACGATTAGCACGATCATAAAGGGAGCGTTGACTCATTAGACAAACAGTAGGGACGAGATGGCCCGCCCTGGGGGAGGAGAGAAAAAGAGAGAAAGGGAGAAAGAAAGGGAGAAAGTGAGAGAACGGTAAAGAGAGAGAGAGAACGGTAAAGAGAGAGAGAGAACGGTAAAGAGAGAGAGAGAGAACGGTAAAGTGAGAGAGAGAGAACGGTAAAGAGAGAGAGAGAACGGTAAAGAGAGAGAGAGAGAACGGTAAAGTGAGAGAGAGAGAACGGTAAAGAGAGAGAGAGAACGGTAAAGAGAGAGAGAGAACGGTAAAGAGAGAGAGAGAACGGTAAAGAGAGAGAGAGAGAACGGTAAAGTGAGAGAGAGAGAACGGTAAAGAGAGAGAGAGAACGGTAAAGAGAGAGAGAGAACGGTAAAGAGAGCGAGAGAACAAAACAGTCTCTGCATCAGAGATGCTTTGAAACACCTGGAGTTTCTGATTGACATTTAAGAGGGTATGATTCTACAGCAGACAAATCCCATATTTGGAGCTGAAAGTGTTTATAGTGGGTGCTGTGTCAGTTTAAACCATCTGACAGCACAAAGTTTCCCTCCCAAAGCGTCACTCAGTCAGTAACAAGGTGCCAACCATGTCAAGCTGACCCTCAGGACTGGAGAGAGGGAGTTGAACGATTTTAATAACTAGCTAAAATAACCAGCATAGTCTCACAGATATACAATTCAGATGACTGAGAAGGGGTAAACACTGACCAACCGTCGCAGATGAAAGTGCAGTTTAGTAGGACATTCAGGAGAAATAATCCATTGAACGCCTTGGTCTTTCGTTTGTTTATAGATCGGTTTGACACATTGCTGAGACCAGACCTGTTGTCACTGTCCTGATGTGATGGCAGACAGACAAAAACGTCAAAGTTTCTTTACTGCTCTTCCTACCACATCACTCGACTGGCGTAATGCCACCCGGACTGCCTTTTTTCTGAGGGCTTCGTTGTCAATGGCAGGTATGATTGACAGGTAATGGAGTGACTAGAGGGTGTACAGATTAAGCGAGTGCCACAGTGAACCAGTCACTACGTCCTTTAACTTGACAAACAGAGCGAATGGTCTAGTCCAGGTTGAAATCGCATGTCTTTGTTTGTTAGAAACCATTACCTTTCTGTTAGGATCATTTTTTGAGTAAAGTGCATGGATGCGTTCTCAATTTGAACAAAGTTCCTAGCCATCTGATGTTGCTCTCCGACAGAACTAAGCCACTCACACAGAGTAAACACACTGAGGACATCATGGAAAACATTACCCCTAAAAACCACAGCTACCAAACTGTCACTACAAACCAACAAAACTGTTATAAACTTTCAATTGACACATAGCTTACTTATCAGGTGATGTAATGTGATGTGTTATGTGCATGTGTAGCTATGAGGATCAATAAAAAAAAAAGCTAGATGCAATTTGGTATGAAAACAGAAAATGCAATGCGATCAGCTATAAAGACGATTACTTTTTTATTTATTATATAATAATATAAATATAATATGCCATTTAGCAGACGCTTTTATCCAAAGCGACTTACAGTCATGCGTGCATACATTTTTTTTTATATTTTTTTGTGTATGGGTACTTTTTTTTATTGACTACTTTATGGTTTATTTAGTTATAGCAATATTATATTAGCTATTCAGTTTTCCAATGCATGTATTGAAACTGAAACTTGGTAGTGTTATGCGGAATGTTTTCCTCTGATTCTTGTGGTTTAGCTGCTAGCGTACAGTAGCTGGGTGAAATAATAGAACATTGTGTGGCCAGAAAAATAAGCGATTATAATGCATGCTCGTTCTTATCTTCCCAAAGAAGAGTACACCTCATACAGTTGCTAGTAAGCTACATTTCTAGTATATAATAGCTAGTTACTCTAGCTCGCAAACTAATATAATTAGCCAGCTAACCAGTCAACTTGTTAATCAAACAGGAATCAAATGTCATTAGAACAAACAGGAATCTAAATTAATACGTGTGCTAGTTGGCGAGGAATACAAAATAGCATGCAAGTTTAGGAAATACTTACAGAGGAAAATCTTCGTGGGAAAACCAGAGTTGTATTTTGGGAAATATTGCCACGAATCCCTTGTTTTTGTGTTTAGGAAAGTTTTTAAATCCCTTCTCCTCACTGCTACAACCATCAGCAGCCCACATCAAAGAGTTTAACACACTCCCGTCCCTCCTCCGCTCTGTCCGCCCGCAAAAAACTCACTTTACGAACGTGACCAATTTGGCACTCTATCAGCCGACAAATGTTATAAATAGCTCCCGCGTTGGCTTCCGAACTTGTTTTCTGTTCGTTTTGAAAATAACTAGTAACTAGTTAGGCGTACTGAAGTTATTCGCCCTGCCTTGTAGTAAATCGCTCGCTCGCCCAGAAACTGTCTCCAGCAGGCAGCTCCCCTCGGAGAGCTCAGGCAGTGCAGTGCCTCGATCTCGTCCCGAACACGCCAATATCCCGAGACTGCATCCGGGTCGGGTCGCAGTCAGATTATTTTCAAAGTTTATTTCTTGCAAAAACGTATTCTGTCATCTTTGAAAGCCTTCTCTGTATAAGCAGTAACTAACTTCTAGTCAGAGCCAGGGATGTCCAGAATGGCACCAAATTGACAAAGGACAGACAGTCGGCTACATTACAAGTGGGCCATAGTGAGTGTATGCCAGTGTAAAGCTTGCGGATATTTCTAAAGCAAACGCTGGAATCTAAACAAGCATTCCTTCCAGAGCTCAGCTTCTATTTATTTAATGTCTGATCATTGTAGGATCAGAGGCCAGGACAGCCTCTCTGCATGCATGGAATGATTTCTCTCCCTGTGTATGTGAGAGAGAATCATTGTATCGTTTCGTGTGTGTGCCTGTGGTCAGTAGAATATGTGCACATTTAACAAGTCAGCCTAACAGTAAAATGACTAAATCTCCATAGAACCAATGATGGGAAAGATGGAGATTACAGGACTGTGGTCTGACAAGCCCCAGGGCAAGACATGGCCTGTGTCGTCACAAATGGCATCCTATTCCCTATATAGTGCACTACTTTTGACCAGAGGCCATAGGGAATAGGGTACCATTTGGGATGTAAACTGGATGCTTCAAGCTGTCACATATCAGTTACTATTATACCTGTCCTAACCAAACACTGGGATCACATGGCTCTCCCTTTTCAATCTCTGAAATATACTGTAATTCAGTGTTATGTTATCCAGGCTCTGTCGTAGCCGGCCGCGACCGGGAGACCCATGGGGCGGTGCACAATTGGCTCAGCGTCGTCCAGGGTAGGGGAGGGAATGACCGGCAGGGATGTAGCTCAATTGGTAGAGCATGGCGTTTGCAACGCCAGGGTTGTGGGTTCGATTCCCATGGGGGGCCAGTATAAAAAAAAAAAAAGATGTATGTACTCACTAACTGTAAGTCGCTCTGGATAAGAGCGTCTGCTAAATGACTAAAATGTAAATGTACCGTTCAACAAGGCAGAGAGAGAACGAAAGTGAGAGATGATGTGTGTGTGTGTGTGTGGGTGGGTTGAGGGCCACACAATCTGTTCAGTTGTAACCTCTAATTAGCTACAGTGGTATTCTGTGTTGTGAAGACAAGAGCCTGAAATGAAATGAGTTACCCATCCACTAAACTCACTGCAGCCTTCACCATGTATTTGATTTAGATTTGACCAGGGAATTAGTTTTAATAGAAAACCACAATGGCAATTGAAGTGAAATGTAGAATAAAGGAAAGCTGTTCAATATGTAATAATACAATACACTATTAATGCTGCTATGTTTTTACATTGCTGCCAACTCCCTCTCTTCCAATATAAAACAATTGTTGCCACCTCCCGCTTCCAATATAAACAATAAACAATTGCTCATCACCGCTCTCTAGTGGTGGTGGAAGGGTAATGCAGAGGCTGTATATCCATCAAACATTACAGCACTCCATCTCCTTACAATGGAAGCAACAGTTTAGCGCTCCATCAGAATATAACAATTTCTTTCGTCGCTCCCTATCCTTTATCTAAATGGTGATCAAGAACTGAACTCATATCAAAAGGGTTGACACATGTATTGGATACTGAGACAGTTGACGATGGCATGCCCAGGCTTTACAGATGTTAAGAGATCAATCTTTGACAAAAAATTATTTGCAAATAACCCTGAATAGCATCTGTAAGACATGTTTGAGCCATCAGTTCTACAATCGTGTTCTAATAATTTTGTACATAGGAGAAATCAAAGAAAAGCTGGTTTGAGTTTTACATAAAAATGCATAAAATGAATAAAAAAGAGAAGCACAAAACCTATTCACATTCAGACCAGTCTACAAAAATGTGACATGTTGCAATGAGACCTATCTGTGAGGTGAGTTGAGAGTGGAGTGAAACTAACATTCATTATCTTCAGTTTTCTTGTTATGTACATTAATCATCTAAAACCATTTCGCTAGGCAGTGTTGTCTAGAATTCAAACTGAATACCGCTACATTTCACTATTGTTAGTGCAATGTTATGTCATCCATAGCAATGGTGTTGAGGTCCTCTATAAGGATGAGCTTGGTGCTAGTAATGCCAGGATAGTGGCATCCATCCCCAGGACCACCCGTACGCCAAATGTATGCACGCGTGACTGTAAGTCGCTTTGGATGAAAGCATCTGCGAAATGGCAGATATTATATTATGAAATTAAACAATCGTAAAACGGAGTGATATTCAGTGTGGATTCCAGGCTAGGGCAAGAGTGAATATCTCAATTCCAAATCCATCCCTAGCCCCTCCTCCCTAGCCCCTCCTGTAGCCTATGAAGGGGTTGGATAGGTGGAAGCAAAAAGGAGGAAATTCCATCCAGCCTATCAGAAATCAGAAGACATGGTGAAGCAAGTCACAAGTACCATATTGCATCCACCTATCCAAACCCTTCAGATCTACAGGAGTGCCTTTGGAAGAGGGTCTAGAGGTTGATTTGGAATTCAGGGTGTGTCTCAATTGTATACCCATGATTCATTGCGTCCTCTCTCCTCATCTCCTTCTCAAAACACATTGGAGGAGAAGATCCAAGGCGAGGAACCTCAGATCGTCTGCTCCAATGAGTTTTGAGAAGGATGCAAGGAGAGAGGATATGAGGAATCAAGGAAATACTATTGAGATTCACCCAGTGTGTGTCTCAGTGGTCTTTGATCTGGTCCTCCTCCTCCAGCTTGCGTATCTCTCCCTTCAGGAAGTTGATGGTCTCTCTGCTGGCTTTCAGTCTGTCCTTCAGGTCTGTGATCTCCTGACTGGTCTTCTTCTTCGCTGCTTCCAGCTTATCCCGCGTCCGCAGCTCCAGCTCCGCAACTACAGACACAGGAAGGAATGGTCAGTCACCAGTGGTACTGTCCACTCATAGCACTGCACAGTGGTGTTTCACTGAACAATGACGACAGAGAGATCGGGTCTCATTGGCTGCCTTTACACAGGCAGTCCAATTCTGATCTTATTGGCAAAGGATCTGGTCTGATCGGTCAAAATACCAATAATTGGGCAAAAGATCAGAATTGGGCAGCCATCAACTTTTAATCTAAACCCCTACTGCAGGGTTCCCCAACTGGCGGTTTTATTTGGCCCCCCAAGTTTTCTGAGCAACAAAAGAAATACTAACAATTATTTATTTATTCTTTGCATTTTCATTGTTGGACATAAAAGACTAAACTCCAGGAAATCAGCTCCAAGTGATTTTAATTTGGGAAATCAGCTCCAAGTGATTTTAATTTGGGAAATCTGTTGAAGTATTCCCACGCATAATAGAGAGACACGTGATCATATACAAATATACAGTGGGGAAAAAAAGTATTTAGTCAGCCACCAATTGTGCAAGTTCTCCCACTTAAAAAGATGAGAGGCCTGTAATTTTCATCATAGGTACACGTCAACTATGACAAACAAATTGAGAAAAAAAAATCCAGAAAATCACATTGTAGGATTTTTTATGAATTTATTTGCAAATTATGGTGGAAAATAAGTATTTGGTCACCTACAAAAAAGCAAGATTTCTGGCTCTCACAGGCCTGTAACTTCTTCTTTAAGAGGCTCCTCTGTCCTCCACTCGTTACCTGTATTAATGGCACCTGTTTGAACTTGTTATCAGTATAAAAGACACCTGTCCACAACCTCAAACAGTCACACTCCAAACTCCACTATGGCCAAGACCAAAGAGCTGTCAAAGGACACCAGAAACACAATTGTAGACCTGCACCAGGCTGGGAAGACTGCATCTGCAATAGGTAAGCAGCTTGGTTTGAAGAAATCAACTGTGGGAGCAATTATTAGGAAATGAAAGACATACAAGACCACTGATAATCTCCCTCGATCTGGGGCTCCACGCAAGATCTCACCCCGTGGGGTCAAAATGATCACAAGAACGGTGAGCAAAAATCCCAGAACCACACGGGGGGACCTAGTGAATGACCTGCAGAGAGCTGGGACCAAAGTAACAAAGCCTACCATCAGTAACACACTACGCCGCCAGGGACTCAAATCCTGCAGTGCAAGACGTGTCCCACTGCTTAAGCCAGTACATGTCCAGGCCCGTCTGAAGTTTGCTAGAGTGCATTTGGATGATCCAGAAGAGGATTGGGAGAATGTCATATGGTCAGATGAAACCAAAATAGAACTTTTTGGTAAAAACTCAACTCGTCGTGTTTGGAGGACAAAGAATGCTGAGTTGCATCCAAAGAACACCATACCTACTGTGAAGCATGGGGGTGGAAACATCATGCTTTGGGGCTGTTTTTCTGCAAAGGGACCAGGACGACTGATCCGTGTAAAGGAAAGAATGAATGGGGCCATGTATCGTGAGATTTTGAGTGAAAACCTCCTTCCATCAGCAAGGGCATTGACGTGGCTGGGTCTTTCAGCATGACAATGATCCCAAACACACCGCCCGGGCAATGAAGGAGAGGCTTCGTAAGAAGCATTTCAAGGTCCTGGAGTGGCCTAGCCAGTCTCCAGATCTCAACCCCATAGAAAATCTTTGGAGGGAGTTGAAAGTCCGTGTTGCCCAGCGACAGCCCCAAAACATCACTGCTCTAGAGGAGATCTGCATGGAGGAATGGGCCAAAATACCAGCAACAGTGTGTGAAAACCTTGTGAAGACTTACAGAAAACGTTTGACCTGTGTCATTGCCAACAAAGGGTATATAACAAAGTATTGAGAAACTTTTGTTATTGACCAAATACTTATTTTCCACCATAATTTGCAAATAAATTCATTAAAAATCCTACAATTTGATTTTCTGGAGAAAAAAAATTCTCATTTTGTCTGTCATAGTTGACGTGTACCTATGATGAAAATTACAGGTCTCTCTCATCTTTTTAAGTGGGAGAACTTGCACAATTGGTGGCTGACTAAATACTTTTTTTCCCCACTGTAAGCAAGGTTTGAAATTATGTTTCAGTCAAATATTATATCTTTTTTTGGGCTTCTTGAGGTCAATTTGCAGTCTACAAATTATTTTTAATTATGTTCCTGGCCCCCGACCAGCCTCTCAATAAAAAAAAATCGGCCCGCGGCTGAATCTAGTTGATGTCTATAATTTGCATTGAAACCCATTTGCCTGATGAGGGGGGAAAAAAAAAGGCATTGCTAGATACAGTAGTTACAATATAAATCTACAGGTACTAAATGCACATGTGTGTTACTGAACAGTACAGGAAAACGTGTGTTACTCACACTCAGTCTCGTGCTTATAGGCCCCCAGGGTCAGTTGTCTAGAGGTACTAAGAAGCTGCTGCATCATGGCTGTGGGGTCCTGGAAGATCTGAGAGAGTAACAGGGAGGACAGAGAGTCGAGACAGGCCTCTCTGGTTTCTTTCCTCACCTTGCAACTTGTTTCACTTCGCTTCTCGTGTCCTCTTTGGTTCACTGTTTTTGAAAAATAAATACATTTGCTCACCATTTCATCATAGAATTCAGACACCACCGTCTTCTTGGGCATGGCACTGGAGTCTGACTGGAAGAGCTTCAGCAGGTGGTAGAGAGTCACCTGTAGACAGACAGACAGACAGACAGACAGACAGTATCATGTAACTGGGGGAAGAAGGTCACCTGTAGACAGACAGACAGACAGACAGTATCATGTAAGTGGGGGAAGAAGGTCACCTGTAGATAGACAGAGTATCATGTAACTGGGGGAAGAGTGTCATAAAAATAATGTAATTGTACAATGAACACGTAGTCTCACGTCCACTGTTATTAAACTATTGTGTGCAGCTGTCTTCATCGACCTGGCCAAGGCTTTCGACTCTGTCAACCACCGCATTCTTATTGGCAGACTAAATAGCCTTGGTTTCTCAAATGACTGCCTCGCCTGGTTCACCAACTACTTCTCAGATAGAGTTCAGTGTGTCAAATCGGAGGGCCTGTTGTCTGGACCTATGGCAGTCTCTATGGGGGTGCCACAGGGTTCAATTCTTGGGCCGACACTTTTCTCCGTGTATATCAATGATGTCGCTCTTGCTGCTGGTGACTCTCTGATCCACCTCTACGCAGACGACACCATTTTGTATACATCTGGCCCTTCATTGGACACTGTGTTAACAAACCTCCAAACGAGCTTCAATGCCATACAACAATCCTTCAGTAGCCTCCAACTGCTCTTAAACACTAGTAAAACTAAATGCATGCTTTTCAATCGAACGCTGCTGGCACCCGCCCACCCGACTAGAATCACCACTCTCGACGGGTCTGACCTAGAGTATGTGGACAACTACAAATACCTAGGTGTCTGGTTAGACTGTAAACTCAACTTCCAGACTCACATAAAGAATCTCCAATCCAAAGTTAAATCTAGAATCGGCTTCCTATTTCGCAATAAAGCCTCCTTCACTCATGCTGCCAAACATGCCCTCGTAAAACTGACTATCCTACCGATCCTTGACTTCGGCGATGTAATTTACAAAATAGCCTCCAACACTCTACTCAGCAAATTGGATGTAGTCTATCACAGTGCCATCCGTTTTGTCTCCAAAGCCCCATACACTACCCACCACTGTGACCTGTACGCTCTTGTTGGCTGGTCCTCACTACATGTTCGTCGTCAAACCCACTGGCTCCAGGCCATCTATAAATCACTGCTAGGCAAATCCCCGCCTTATCTTAGCTCATTGGTCACCATAGCAGCACCCACCCGTAGTCTACGCTCCAGCAGGTATATCTCACTGGTCATTCCCAAAGCCAACACCTCCTTTGGCCGCCATTCCTTCCAGTTCTCTGCTGCCAATGACTGGAACGAATTGCAAAAATCTCTGAAGCTGGAGACTCTTATCTCCCTTAATAACTTTAAGCATCAGTTGTCAGAGCACCTTACCGATCACTGCACCTGTACACAGCCCATCCGAAATTAGCCCACCCAACTACCTCATCCCTATATTATTTATTTTGCTCTTTTGCACCCCAGTATCTCTATTTGCACATAATCTCTTGCACATCTAGCATTCCAGTGTTAATACTATTGTAATTATTCTGCACTATAGCCTATTTATTGCCTTACCTCCATAACTTGCTACATTTGCACACACTGTATATATATTTTCTGTTGTATTTTCTGACTTTATGTTTTTTTTACCCCATATGTAACTCTGTTGTTTTTATTGCACTACTTTGCTTTATCTTGGCCAGGTCGCAGTTGTAAATGAGAACTTGTTCTCAACTGGCTTACCTGGTTAAATAAAGGTGAAATAAAAAAAAATATAAAAAAAATAAATTGTTTTACTATTTTAATGTGTCTCCTAATTTAGAAAACTTCTTGTGTTTTTATCTTTCACACCTTTCTATTATTTGATTGTGTTAAGCACTCTGAAATGTATCCTCTGTTATATAAAAAAAAGGTGCTATATTAATAAAGTTTGATTTGAATGAAATGCCATAATAAAGCAACACTCACTGGCCGCTCATTGGGGTCGATGAAAAAGATCTTGATGATGATCTCAAACTCTCCCCAGCCCGTCTCTGTGATCTCGTACGGAGGCTTCGTCACGACTACAACAGATCAGAAAGAGAACACCATTAGGCCTCCATGAGGCCCTACATGCATGGCAAATTACATCACTGTTATTATGTGGATACATTACAAACTTGATTTACCTCTGAGTGGATTCACATAACTTTCATGTAGTTTGAACTGTATCTTCTTCACATATGCAGACATATCCTGGAATATAATTGGGTCAGGTCAATACTGTAGTTACCCAATGAGACCTTGAAGTCAACACCAACCATTTTCCAAGATTACAGTTGAGTTTACCTCGTTTCTGTATGGTTTCACATACACAGACCATTGGTGAGTGTGTCCATCCTCCTCTCTCTTCTTCCCAAAATACCGAGCAACGTTTCCGAATACGATGGGCTTCACGATCGTAACACCCTGTGGGTTACAGACAAATGCTGTTTTCTGCAACATAATGCAGATCAATGATGATGATAATATGGTGAACTGGCTACCATAGACGGTAAGAAGTGATGCGGTTTGTTGCCTGCCAAGCCAACCGCGTCTTCACGACAAGCACTTTACTGACACGCTTCCGTAGGCTTATTAAAAAGGAAGTAACATATAACTAGCTTACACAGTTAGTCAAATTGTCTCTTATAAACATACAACTTTTTATTGATCATATTATAGTTACCGGTATCAAATATTATTGACATCCGCCCCCTACCTTCACTCTACCCCCGGAATCTGGTCCAAATTCAGCCATCCTTTTAAACATAGTATAGAGAGTAGAAAGTGACGTTAAACTCGTATATGTCACTATAGGACTCTTGCAGTAGTGGTTTGGAATCTGTCATTTAATAAGATTGCCATTAGATCTATGAAAACAACACGATTTTACAATGTACACATTTCAAATTGCCAGCCAAACAAGCACCGGAAGTACGTTACATTGTTCGTGGTCCGATGTGAACACGGGAAACATTCAGAGCGTAACACGATTAGGGTCCTCTTGTCTAATGTTCTGCTTTGTACCCTGTAGTAGTAGTAGTAGTAGTAGGTTTATTGGTTTCTTGCAGTCATATAGACTGAATTGTGTAAACCAATTTACAATCATCAAATAGTAAAATCATAAACTAGCAAAACATGTAATAAAATGTTAAACTATGCAATAGTATATACAAAACAATAATACTACAACGACAAGGTTTGGGGTGGCAGCTTTACAAAATACATCTTTAGAACTTTTAAGGAGGCGTTTCTAACGCCCCTGTGCTATATGATGTGTGCATTGATCAGTTTAGTGAAGTATGGAATGGGAGAGTTCCGATAAGCAGCCTGTGCGTGTCATGTAAGTGTTCCGTTTGTGGCGGTTGCGGGTTGCCAGTCCAGTAGTCTGCTGTCTGGTTGGGGGGAGCCAGTCTGCAAACTGGGAGTTCTGCAGGGATTTATGATATGTCAGGCAGATCTGCTCCCGATCGCTCTCCAAGGACATGATTCTGAGGGCTTACCCGGTAGCTGGTGTACGACCCGTCCCGAATTATTCTGCAGGTTCTCTTCTGGACACGAGTCCGGGTTTGAGTGATCATCAAAGATAGGCCATTTATACAAAACATGTGACGTCCAACTAGGCTACTGAAATTAATAAAATGTATATTTATAAACATAAATGTGTTAATATGAGTCGAGACTTCGGACTAGAACTATTGCCTTCATAAGCATTTCTCACAAACTGTAGCCCAAAGGCCACCAGATGGCCATATCCGAGCCGTTTGTAAAATGAAACCATCAATTCCAGATCACCATCCCCACCCGCAGGCCTATGGCCTACACCAACTGCTTCACACACGGTCTTGATCAGCTATACTTATTTGTTTGCGATCAGCATTGCAAATTCAATAAACGTATCCAATAGCCTCACATCCCAAGTAATAAACAGAATAATGGAGGTACAAAGTAGTTACAATTATTTTATTTTTGGGAAGGCACAAGGTGGTACAAGTTCAGAGGAGAACCTACTGTCTTTATTCTTAATGCAAATATTCTGTCTAATGAATCATATAATTAAAAGAGCAATATGATCTGAACTATCAATAAACACATTGATAGCATTTTAGTATGCATGGTGTAATAATTCAATAATCGATCAGAAATTTGCACCGGTCATTCTTCATGGATCTGGAACGGACGACTTACCTTCTGCCGTTGGTGAATGTCATGGAGCTGTAAATGAAATAAGGGCAAAAAGAACTACATCCTAACGTACAATTCAGCATTTAGTGTAAGTGTAACTATGAGTAAATTACATTTATATATATATATAAAAAACCAAGAGCCTCGAACTCTTTGAAGGGAGGCCTTTCTTTAAATTATTTGTGTCAATCATACCTGAGAAAAAAAAAAGCCTTTAAGTTTCTGCTGAGTAAATTAGACTATTACAATCTTTTCACAAACCTCAGTCATATTCTACGGTCTTATTCAATCCTTTACTTTGCATTCTATTGATTAAGTGTACATTTGATGAAACCAATCAGCAATGTCAGGAAAAGTAACATTCGGCCGAATGGTTCACGAAGACTGACTTCAGACGGAGAAATCTAGTTTATTGAAGACACTCAAAACAAGACAGTGCACCTTAAAAAAAGTTCAATTTCCTGAAAACGTCACAGAGATAAATTGATCAGGTAAAAGACTTGATCACAAAACTTTGGATCTGACTGTAAAAAAATCATTCAAGGTAATATCTAAGATGGATGCATTATAAGTACAAAATGACAAACACTAATTGAGTATGGGTAACACTGTATATATATACAGTATTGACGTTTCAAACCTGTTTCAAATCAGCTCTACTCAAATATTCATTCTGTTTGAAAAGACGTTGGACTGGAAAGCAATTCTTAATGATCAGCGAATAGGTAACAAAGCATTCATAACCGACCCATTAGCACAATAAACATGGCATAATTGCTACAGAGCATTATGAATGCTTTACAACATATTCAACATCTCAGTGCATTTATACAATAAATGCAATACAAAACGTAACACGAAGCAAAAGTCCCATGTATAAAAACAAAGTGTTTGTTATGCAAACTTTACCTGAAGGAGTACTTTACTAAAGTTCCATCTAATAAGATTCCATGTCAAACACATTGTAGTCCTCAAAATGCTCTTTCTAGCTAGTGAGTCATTTTGATTAAAAAATAGATGTTTGTTCCAATAGTTAGATTTAAAGGCTTACCAGTAACATTCACACATTTTAAGTTGACTTTGAAGCAGTGGTTTCAGTGAATGATTCAAGCCACAATAGCCACCTAAATATCTGAAGATAGTGGCAACGGAACACAACGCTAGCAGGAGAGCACTGCTAATGTCTATCAGGGCAGTTGAGGAGATACACGGGAGGTGGCAGGCATTACCGCCTTAAAAACAGGCATCAATAGCAGTTATTTCAATCTGGCAGACCAGTCAGTGCACAGACCCCGAGACGCCAGGGAAGGGTTATGCTCTCATGCGTTTACAAAATGGACACATCACTTGAATATCCTTAGACTACTGTAATCCCCATCCAGCCCCTTGGCCTGGTCCCGGACCTTATTACTATTGTAATCAATCATTTACTACGTCCCAGCCGCTTGGCCTGGTCCCAGAAGGGGATCCTACAGAACAGGATCAATGAGTTAGCCAGCTAACTTTGATAAACAACCAGAAATAACTTGAGATTTTCTGGTTAATTAAGAACACTAAAATTTGATACGTTTTTGGTTGTTGAGTCATTACACCATACCAGTGTCAAGCTTCTATTTTTTTAAAATAAATAAAAATATTTCCGAATATTTAGGCAAATTAGCTGGCTAACACGTTGATCCTGCTTTGTAGTATATCGCTCAGGTCTGTATGTGTTTTAGCCAACTACTCTGGCCAGCATTTGTTATTGCCATTCAATGTAGACATGACAATGAGTCTAGACTCGGCCAAAATATATACAGATCTGGGACCAGGCTACCACACCCCTACCTGGCCTAAAACAGTGAGGCAAGCTACTCAATAAGAAATCAGTGCAGTACATCAGCCAGCCAATAGGAGCACCTGTTTGCCGATAAGGGACTAATTCTGTTCACAAAAGTAGTAGTATTGTACAGATCTGTGACGTTTGCATCACCTATCACTCAAACATCCATATAAATCAATAATCTGTTCTACTTGTGTCATTAATATTAGGGTAATGAATCCTTGGAATGTACTTCCTAGTAACATGAATGAATAAAACAAAATTCAATAAAAATATAACTAACGTCCTGAACACCACTACAATCAGTTAGTAAAAGACATGGATTTTCACTTTTTGAATCCAAATGGCACACAGTAGTATACTGTGATTGAAAACAAATGTTTGCAAACAAGTAGCTACATTTTGGAACAAACTAATATGTCAGAGATTAAAATATCTGCCACACGATTATTCAATGCATAAGTAGTTACGCTAAATTCAAAGCCAGATTTCACCAAATTCTGGGCATCAGGACAAATACAACCTTTTGGTCAACTGTGCTTAATTTGGTCAATAACAGCGTAACTTTGCAACTTAAGCTACAGAGTAGATTTAAAATAACTATTTGGTCAAACTCAATATGTAAAATGTATGCAGGCAAAAACGTACACATTTAATGTCAATTCCTACTAAGTGTCAAAACCCCAGTAAACAGTTTATTACAACACAGAATCTATTTTAATATTCAAAGCAGAGACATTTACAAACATTATCCTAACGAGAAAAGTATGTAGGGACATGAGGAAATAAAGACGAAAAACCAAAACAAACCTCCCTATAAAAACAATTCTAACCTGACAAATGTACACATTATAGCAGTCAAAAAAGTTGTCTGTTTTCTTTTCTGTTTTGGAATAGAACAGGCAAATGTAGTAATTTGTTATTTTCGCAAAGCTTGAAGAACCCTGTGAACACAGGTAGGTAATATTTTTTTTTTCATTCACATCAAATAAAATTTCAGTAAAAATAAAAAGAGCTGTCGAGTTGTTTTTTTTTTTTTTTTTTTAAACCATGAGTATGATTTTAAAGAACTCTTCTAGCCTTACACAGCTGTGAGCGATTCCCAGGTAGTCAGTCCCCTGGTAACCATGGAGACAGACAGAGAGAGGGGGGGGGGGGACTAGTTGTCAAGGCGATCCTGAAGTAGGGCCTGCTGGTTGTGACGCGGCGTCCTCGTCCCTGTCCTCTTCCGTAGGCTGAAATGTGTCAAAACGAAGGGTGGAGTTTGGTTTGGGGCAGCCCAACAATATACAGTTTTCTTGTTTGTATCATACCCCCTCTAACTGTACAGTACACACAGAGGAACCAAAACAAAGACATGCAGGTACTTCTCTTTCTAACGGTAGTCAACTTGTCAGAGAATGATTCCACATTACAGTGAGTAAGGAAGAACAATGCAGTGCCCACAATGGCTAAACCCTGCTATACTGCTGAGCCCTGAATTTAGTATGTACTCAAATGTGTAATGCACTTAGTACTAATATATTTCAGAAAAAGATTTACAATTAGTGTGTGTGGATAGGATAAAATCTGTTTAAGGGTGTTTCACAAAACATCTCATAACCTAATCTAAAAGTTAAAATGGGCAGAACAAGGGTGAAAAGTCTACAATGGTCTCTATAGAAAGAACGCCCAATCCCAACCCCTAGACCCTACGCACTTCTTCAATATCGTCAAGAGGATTTGACAGACGGAAGCAATAGGTTGTTAAGTCTACCTTGGCCCTCTGATAGGTGGAAGTAATGTGGGAGAATTCCACCTATCAATAGGTTGTTAAGTCTACCTTGGCCCTCTGATAGGTGGAAGTCATGTGTGAGAATTCCACCTATCAAATCCTCTGAGATCTCAAGTCCATAAGACAAAAAAGGGGTCTATGCGGTCGGTTTGGGATTGGTCCCCAAGTCTAAGAGAGAGGTGACGAGGGCCCAGTTTTTCCAAGAGTTATCTGGATTTCGCCTATCGGATAGGATTAAATGCATAGAAATACAATTAATAGAACGGACGACTAATTGACGGGAATGGGGACTCCCGTTCTATTCATTATATTTCTACGCATTTCATCCTAGGCGAAATACAGATAGATCACTTTTGAAAAACTGGGCCCAGAGCACTGGGAAAAGCAGAGGACAAACATGGTCAACTTTACAGAGAGGAATACTAGTGGTGCTACATAGGGACGTGGATAAATCTATAGACAGACTTCTACTTGCGCTACACTTAATTCAGTACTCTGAAACAGAACTAAAAAATAATGTAGACTTGCATGCACATGATTAACATTACAGTGACAATTCATTGGAATTGCAAAACCACATAACCATTCATAATATTTCAGTTCATAGATCACCCCCAGCCAGTTTCCAAACTCATCCACCAGGTAAAGGAATATGCTGTACATTTTGGTTGTTTTTGACAATTTCCATATAACTGTAGTTATTAGCCTAGAAGTAATTCTGAGTTTAATTGGTTTATCAATTCTATTTTAATCAAATTAAAGAAGCTGAGTATTGCTTAATGAGTGAATTTACACGGTGCATAGTTGGGAATATCAAATTCAAAAGTTAATAATACCAACATTTCATTGAACAGATGTCCCGTCACCCTCCCCACAATCATTTCAGCTCCATTGAGCATCTCAATGGGGCCACAGCATCATCAAGACATGTTCTCAAAACACCAGATAATTTATAATTATCACTAATAGATTAAAGAATGACCATTTGTTGTTGCATTTTTTTGTTTTGTTTAAAAGACCTGGTACTAACTTCCTTCAGAGTATTTTTTGCAAGAGATATTGAAAGAGTTAAGGTGGTTGAACCTTCATCAAAATGAACCTTCTTGAGATGATGTGGACACCAATGAGTGTTGCAGGAACCACATGATACGTAGTTGTGAAGGATGAATACACCAGAGAGAGAGAGAGACAGTTAAAACAGTGCAAGAAATATGTTATCAGGAAATCAGGACTGCTTTCTCCATGCCTGCAAAACATCACAGACACCTATAGACAAATTGGAAAAATAGCTAGTCATTGCTTCCCTGTATCGTGAACATACGATCCCAATGCTAAATGAAACCATGTTAAAGATCTGTGAACATTGAAAGGTAGTAAGCATAGATCAAAGCATTTATTTTACCATGAAGTGAGGATAATAAAAGCAACCCTTAGGTTTGTTTCCTTGTGATTTAAAAAGTTATGACTGACTAAAACTAATATTTTAGATTGATTTGTCAGTTGTATTATTAAAATGATAACGTTTATTTTAATAATTTAACCAAATGCTAGTAATTTAATAAAATGGGGGGGGGGAAAATGCAGAGAAATTACTTCATCAAACATGTACATTCAAAGGAGTTATCCCATTTAATGCAAGCATTAGTTACTAATCAGCAAACTAACCAATCAAATACAAAAAAAAAAAAAAAAAAATAGGCCAAATATATATTAATAACCGGTAATACAATCAGATTTTGGGGTATACATGCAATCACTTTTGGGATTTACAATGGCAACTTAAATTTGAGTGACCATCAACCCATTTAAAAAAAAAAGGACAAATACCACAACATTATTTTCTTGACTACGCCATTTCAATAAAACACCCATTGACCTTCAATTCCTACAAGATAATTGCCAAGGTACCATTTCACCAAGGAATTGTGTCAGAATTGTCTGGCTGTCCATTTCAAACTATAGCCTAAAAACAAGACAACTGACAGTGAAATCTTGAGATTCACTTCAAATAGGTGTACCATTTGAAACCTAAAATATCCGCATTTACAAAATGGCTGCCATTGAATTGTGGACAATTATGATGATTATTTTAGTCCTCATTGAAATAGATTGTGATATTTTCAGACAAGTACCGTACCTGTATTGATTTATATTTTCAAGCACTGTACCACTGGCAAATATATTTTTATTGTATTCTTATTCGTTTAAAGCATCAGCACACAGTGTGATGCGCAGTAGTAAGGGCTGAAAAGTCATCAAATTGACCTAAAATGTACCGGCAAACATAGCGACATTGCAAGGGCCCTATAAAATCTGTTTTATTTTTTGCCCATATTTCTTCTTCTCTTTCCTAATTCCATTTTTCAGTTTTTTGCTCTAAAAAAAAAGTATCAATTTAAAAAATATATAAAAACACCATTGTATGTTCTAAAGTCCACAACCATGCTTAAACCTTATCAGGAGACCACTTTTGAGTTCTGGGAAAAATCTAAGAAATTGAAACCTTTTTGGGTGTAGTTACCCTTTAATTCAACTGTGCACCAGCAAGAGACGGCGGTTCGGTTAGCGATGTTTCTGTAGCACTCATGTAATTTCAGAGTTTGATAAACAAAATGGCCACTGGATTGATGCAAATAATCATGATATCATTCTGCCAGGTGGGCATAAGATACTTTGTAGTTAACATTTAATTGAGAAGGTTTTTGGGAAAAGCCTTTCCATCTAACGGAAGACGGTTGTCATTACATTAGCATCATCGCTAACGGCTACACAAATGAAATAACATTTTATTTGTCACATGCACGTGTTTAGCAGATGTTATTGCGGGTGTAGCGAAATGCTTGTGCTTCTAGCTCCGACAGTGCAGTAATATCTAACCATTGCACAACATGCAGTGCCTTGCCAAAGTATTCATCCCCCTTGGCGTCTTTCCTATTTTGTTGCATTACAACCTGTCATTTTAATTGATTTTTATTTGGATTTCATGTAATGGACATACACAAAAGTCCAAATTGGTGAAGTGAAAAAAAAAACTTGTTTCAAAAAATTATACAAAATAAATAACGGAAAAGTGGTGCGTGCATATGTATTCACCCCCTTTGCTATGAAGCCCCTAAATAAGATCTGGTGCAACCAATTACCTTCAGAAGTCACATAATTAGTTCAATAAAGTCCACCTGTGTGCAATCTAAGTGTCACATGATCTCAGTATATATACACACACACACACCTGTTCTGAAAGGCCCCAGAGTCTGCAACACCACTAAGCAAGGGGCACCACCAAGCAAGCAGCACCATGAAGACCAAGGAGCTCTCCAAACAGGTCAGGGACAAAGTTGTGGAGAAGTACAGATCATGGTTGGGTTATAAAAAAAATATCAGAAACTTTGAACATCCCACGGAGCACCATTAAAAAAATTGAAAGAATATGGCACCACAACAAACCGGCCAAGAGAGGGCCGCCCACCAAAACTCACGGACCAGGCAAGGAGGGCATTAATCAGAGGCAACAAAGAGACCAAAGATAACCCTGAAGGAGCTGCAAAGCTCCACAGCGGAGATTGGAGTATCTGTCCATAGGACCACTTTAAGCCGTACACTCCACAGAGCTGGGCTTTACGGAAGAGTGTCCAGAAAAAAGCCATTGCTTAAAGAAAAAAATAAGCAAACATGTTTGGTGTTCGCCAAAAGGCGAAGGTAGAAGGTACTCTGGTCAGATGAGACTAAAATTGAGCTTTTTGGCCATTAAGGAAAACGCTATGTCTGGCGCAAACCCAACACCTCTCATCACCCCGAGAACACCACCCCACAGTGAAGCATGGTGGTGGCAGCATCATGCTGTGGGGATGTTTTTCATCGGCAGGGACTGGGAAACTGGTCAGAATTGAAGGAATGATGGATGGTGCTAAATACAGGGAAATTCTTGAGGGGAAACCTGTTTCAGTCTTCCAGAGATTTGAGACTGGGACGGAGGTTCACCTTCCAGCAGGATAATGACCCTAAGCATAGTGCTAAAGCAACACTCAAGTGGTTTAAGAGGAAACATTTAAATGTCTTGGAATGGCCTAGTCAAAGCCCAGACCTCAATCCAATTGAGAATCTGTGGTATGACTTAAAGATTACTGTACACCAGCGGAACCCATCCAACTTGAAGGAGCTGGAGCAGTTTTGCCATGAAGAAAGGCCAAAAATCCCAGTGGCTAGATGTGCCAAGCTTATAGAGACAACCCCAAGAGACATTTTGTTAATCTCTTATGATAATCTTGTACAAATTAATGAATTGAATACAGTTAGTTGATTTTCTACTAACTTCAATACATTTAGTCGATTCTCTACTAACTTCAACACATTTAGTAGATGTCCTACTAACTTCAATAAACATTTTAATATTGATTAATTCCGTTTTAATGTCTGGATTCTGTGATTCCGTACGCGTTCACCGCAACGTGGATTTTATAGGGCCCTACATTGCCATGAGGTATATATATATATATAAAATATGTATAAGCCAATGTTACCATCAAGATGGATCAAAACCTGAGCCAAATCTTTATGAAACTCAGCCTTCAATATTAGGGAACAAATGCAAAAAAAAAACCCGGCACATACAGAATTGATATATGTGAAAGGTAAAAACCGTGTTAATATGATGTTAACAGCATCAAAAGACTCAAAATGGTCTGTTCTACAAAACATGGGGCATTAGAGTAAAGACCATGACCAACCTCTGCTACAGGAGGCATAGTGTGCTAGTTACCTGATTACCACATTCAGTTTGACCTCCAGGAGGCATAGTGTGCTAGTTACCTGATTACCACATTCAGTTTAACCTACAGGAGGCATAGTGTGCTAGTTACCTGATTACCACATTCAGTTTGACCTCCAGGAGGCATAGTGGGCTAGTTACCTGATTACCACATTCAGTTTGACCTACAGGAGGCAGGGTGGGCTAGTTACCTGATTACCACATTCAGTTTGACCTACAGGAGGCATAGTGGGCTAGTTACCTGATTACCACATTCAGTTTGACCGTTAAGGGAGTATGACGGGCTAACTCTTTGCCTAAAATTTAATATAGACAAAACATTTTACCAGCTTGATATCAATGCCATTTATCATACAAAAACATTACCAAAATCCTTTTGTTCAAGACCATCAATTTCAGAGCGATAAAATGAAAAACATGGCAAAGACATGGCAGGTTTTTACAGATGGTATACCAAAATCCTGTCCATTTTTTAACCCCATACCCATACTATTAGTTATACTAGAGCGGTCAGAGAACTGACAGTGGTTTTAAAATAGTTAAATATTTTACACATTTGAATTTGCATGTAACCATTACCTCAGGTTAACAAGAGGAAGAACCACATTTTTGCTGTGAGCTTTTTTTAAAGAAGAAAGTATCGCAATGCATCAATGGTCAGAAAAGGCCTTACAATGCACAGAATCCAATACTCAATATCAGCAATTCAATAACATGTTTCAGAATTATGTCATGATTCAATAAAATCAGAAGGGGACTAAGCAGTTTGGTAATCATTTGGTGGCCTACAAAACAATTCACACAACCCCCTTTAGTTGTACCATCACAACCTTGACAACATTTGAACACTGCCAAATAATTTCTTGGCACATTGTGCCATCAGTGTCAAAGAAACCCTTCAATAAACAATTACCGTATTTTACAAACAACCTTTCACAGGTGTTGATCATTTGTCATATAAAGTACTTTTTTAAACTTCAGAGGTTTAAAAACATTTTCAAGCTTAGCAGCACTTGCATATAAAAACCTCCCTACAACACACATGCATGCAATAGAAGCCTACTGACACAGTCAAAATGTTAAGAGGATGAAAGTAAAATACAGTCAAAAACATACAACAAGTCTCAGACAAATAATAGATACACACATCAGCAATGACAGTCAGCTCTGGTCAAGAGTACAACAATGACTTACCTTCCTCCTCCACCTACCGTAGGCTCTGTAGTGCCTGTCATGTCCCGCTCTGGGCCTCTTGTTCTGGGCCATAGCGACCTGGCCCCTGCCCTGCACTAAGCTGAGGGACAAGAGCGGTAACACGGTTATCGGTAACCAGTTTGAACGGGCATACACACCTTCTCTAGCGGTGCCGGTACTCCCGCTCGCGGTCTCGTTCGCGCTCGCGTTCTCGGTCCCCGCGGTGCCGTTCTCGCTCCCGGCTGCGTTCCCGGTAGTAGTCCTCGTGGCGGTCGCGGCTACGGGACTTGTGGCGCCGGCTCTTCTCCCGGGATCGGCTGTGGTCTCGCTCCCTCGACCTCTCGCGTCTTTTGGGGGCAGAACTTACATTCATACATCAAACTCTTAACCAACCACCAAAGCAGGTCTGTCCATCGGCCAAAATCATCAATAATATCTTCAATAATGACAGCACCAATACAACTAGTTAGAGATACAGTCAATCAATTACATTTGAGTCATTTAGGAGACAATATTATCCAGCACGTCTTACAATAAGTGCATTCAACTAAAGTTGGTAAAACATATCACCACCATTCCAAGGAAATAACAACAGATCAGTATAGGAATACAAGCGCAATGACTAGCAGGTACTCAAAATCAACCTGATATTATCACACACCTTCAATTCATTTATATCACTTCTCTCAGTTGTCGATTATAAAGAACCAGGGTTGGGGTCAAAAATCGGTCAATTCAGAAATTAAACCATATTCCAATTCCAGAAGAATTGGAATTTCTGTGTGCTTCCTGAATTGAAATGGAATTGACCCCAACCTTGACAGGATCCACAGGAGAAGGAGAAAGAGGTTGGTATTTACCTGGAGGCAGAGCCGTAGGACTTGTTCTCGATGCCGTGGAGACAGTCCTGTAGAGAGCTGATGAGAACTTTGCAGCGGTCATCCGCTGACACCTTAGACTGCTTGATTAGAGAGATGGCCGTCACCAGAGTCTCTATCGCACTGCCGTAGTCAGCTAACGGAGAGAGGAAGCCATTAACATCCTGTCACCAGAGTCTCTATCGCACTGCCGTAGTCAGCTAACGGAGAGAGGAAGCCATTAACATCCTGTCACCAGAGTCTCTATCGCACTGCCGTAGTCAGCTAACGGAGAGAGGAAGCCATTAACATCCTGTCACCAGAGTCTCTATCGCACTGCCGTAGTCAGCTAACGGAGAGAGGAAGCCATTAACATCCTGTCACCAGAGTCTCTATCGCACTGCCGTAGTCAGCTAACGGAAAGAGGAAGCCATTAACATCCTGTCACCAGAGTCTCTATCGCACTGCCGTAGTCAGCTAACGGAGAGAGGAAGCCATTAACATCCTGTCACCAGAGTCTCTATCGCACTGCCGTAGTCAGCTAACGGAGAGAGGAAGCCATTAACATCCTGTCACCAGAGTCTCTATCGCACTGCCGTAGTCAGCTAACGGAGAGAGGAAGCCATTAACATCCTGTCACCAGAGTCTCTATCGCACTGCCGTAGTCAGCTAACGGAGAGAGGAAGCCATTAACATCCTGTCACCAGAGTCTCTATCGCACTGCCGTAGTCAGCTAACGGAGAGAGGAAGCCATTAACATCCTGTCACCAGAGTCTCTATCGCACTGCCGTAGTCAGCTAACGGAGAGAGGAAGCCATTAACATCCTGTCACCAGAGTCTCTATCGCACTGCCGTAGTCAGCTGACGGAGAGAGGAAGCCATTAACATCCTGTCACCAGAGTCTCTATCGCACTGCCGTAGTCAGCTGACGGAGAGAGGAAGCCATTAACATCCTGTCACCAGAGTCTCTATCGCACTGCCGTAGTCAGCTAACGGAGAGAGGAAGCCATTAACATCCTGTCACCAGAGTCTCTATCGCACTGCCGTAGTCAGCTAACGGAGAGAGGAAGCCATTAACATCCTGTCACCAGAGTCTCTATCGCACTGCCGTAGTCAGCTAACGGAGAGAGGAAGCCATTAACATCCTGTCACCAGAGTCTCTATCGCACTGCCGTAGTCAGCTAACGGAGAGAGGAAGCCATTAACATCCTGTCACCAGAGTCTCTATCGCACTGCCGTAGTCAGCTGACGGAGAGAGGAAGCCATTAACATCCTGTCACCAGAGTCTCTATCGCACTGCCGTAGTCAGCTAACGGAGAGAGGAAGCCATTAACATCCTGTCACCAGAGTCTCTATCGCACTGCCGTAGTCAGCTAACGGAGAGAGGAAGCCATTAACATCCTGTCACCAGAGTCTCTATCGCACTGCCGTAGTCAGCTAACGGAGAGAGGAAGCCATTAACATCCTGTCACCAGAGTCTCTATCGCACTGCCGTAGTCAGCTAACGGAGAGAGGAAGCCATTAACATCCTGTCACCAGAGTCTCTATCGCACTGCCGTAGTCAGCTAACGGAGAGAGGAAGCCATTAACATCCTGTCACCAGAGTCTCTATCGCACTGCCGTAGTCAGCTAACGGAGAGAGGAAGCCATTAACATCCTGTCACCAGAGTCTCTATCGCACTGCCGTAGTCAGCTAACGGAGAGAGGAAGCCATTAACATCCTGTCACCAGAGTCTCTATCGCACTGCCGTAGTCAGCTAACGGAGAGAGGAAGCCATTAACATCCTGTCACCAGAGTCTCTATCGCACTGCCGTAGTCAGCTAACGGAGAGAGGAAGCCATTAACATCCTGTCACCAGAGTCTCTATCGCACTGCCGTAGTCAGCTAACGGAGAGAGGAAGCCATTAACATCCTGTCACCAGAGTCTCTATCGCACTGCCGTAGTCAGCTAACGGAGAGAGGAAGCCATTAACATCCTGTCACCAGAGTCTCTATCGCACTGCCGTAGTCAGCTAACGGAGAGAGGAAGCCATTAACATCCTGTCACCAGAGTCTCTATCGCACTGCCGTAGTCAGCTAACGGAGAGAGGAAGCCATTAACATCCTGTCACCAGAGTCTCTATCGCACTGCCGTAGTCAGCTAACGAGAGAGGAAGCCATTAACATCCTGTCACCAGAGTCTCTATCGCACTGCCGTAGTCAGCTAACGGAGAGAGGAAGCCATTAACATCCTGTCACCAGAGTCTCTATCGCACTGCCGTAGTCAGCTAACGGAGAGAGGAAGCCATTAACATCCTGTCACCAGAGTCTCTATCGCACTGCCGTAGTCAGCTGACGGAGAGAGGAAGCCATTAACATCCTGTCACCAGAGTCTCTATCGCACTGCCGTAGTCAGCTAACGGAGAGAGGAAGCCATTAACATCCTGTCACCAGAGTCTCTATCGCACTGCCGTAGTCAGCTAACGGAGAGAGGAAGCCATTAACATCCTGTCACCAGAGTCTCTATCGCACTGCCGTAGTCAGCTAACGGAGAGAGGAAGCCATTAACATCCTGTCACCAGAGTCTCTATCGCACTGCCGTAGTCAGCTAACGGAGAGAGGAAGCCATTAACATCCTGTCACCAGAGTCTCTATCGCACTGCCGTAGTCAGCTAACGGAGAGAGGAAGCCATTAACATCCTGTCACCAGAGTCTCTATCGCACTGCCGTAGTCAGCTAACGGAGAGAGGAAGCCATTAACATCCTGTCACCAGAGTCTCTATCGCACTGCCGTAGTCAGCTAACGGAGAGAGGAAGCCATTAACATCCTGTCACCAGAGTCTCTATCGCACTGCCGTAGTCAGCTGACGGAGAGAGGAAGCCATTAACATCCTGTCACCAGAGTCTCTATCGCACTGCCGTAGTCAGCTAACGGAGAGAGGAAGCCATTAACATCCTGTCACCAGAGTCTCTATCGCACTGCCGTAGTCAGCTAACGGAGAGAGGAAGCCATTAACATCCTGTCACCAGAGTCTCTATCGCACTGCCGTAGTCAGCTAACGGAGAGAGGAAGCCATTAACATCCTGTCACCAGAGTCTCTATCGCACTGCCGTAGTCAGCTAACGGAGAGAGGAAGCCATTAACATCCTGTCACCAGAGTCTCTATCGCACTGCCGTAGTCAGCTAACGGAGAGAGGAAGCCATTAACATCCTGTCACCAGAGTCTCTATCGCACTGCCGTAGTCAGCTGACGGAGAGAGGAAGCCATTAACATCGCAGGGTATAGCACAGACATTTAGAAAAGGGGCACTTGTGAAAGTAAGCAATACAATTTACAAGCAACACATGCATAACATGGGCATTTGTGTGTGTGTATATATTCAGCCCTTCTCTCCCTCTGTAGAGTGTTGTTGTATTTGTGAGGGATGTGTGAGTGTTCAGCCCCTCTCCTCCTCTGTAGAGTGTGTTGTTGTATTTGTGAGGGATGTGTGAGTGTTCAGCCCCTCTCCTCCTCTGTAGAGTGTGTTGTTGTATTTGTGAGGGATGTGTGAGTGTTCAGCCCTTCTCTCCCTCTGTAGAGTGTGTTGTAGTATTTGTGAGGGATGTGTGAGTGTTCAGCCCCTCTCCTCCTCTGTAGAGTGTGTTGTAGTATTTGTGAGGGATGTGTGAGTGTTCAGCCCCTCTCCTCCTCTGTAGAGTGTGTTGTTGTATTTGTGAGGGATGTGTGAGTGTTCAGCCCCTCTCCTCCTCTGTAGAGTGTGTTGTTGTATTTGTGAGGGATGTGTGAGTGTTCAGGGCGTGATCCATACCTGCGCTAGCGTCTGACACCGCCCTGGAGATGGCGCTGCTGGAAATGGCTCGGTTCCGGTTCATGATCTCCTCAAACTCTGCCTCGCTCAGCGGTGTCCGTGCTGACTCCATCTCCCTGGGACAGAGACAAGCAGGAAGGAGACGGCGTCAATGTCTTAAGGTCTTCAAACTCAACAACAACCCCAAACTCAGAACCACCAGATAAAGGACAGAGGACGTTTAAGAGGAAGGAAAAGCTATTTTTCAATAAGTCTTTCCTAACTCCTCGCCTTCTCAAAAGCCATTGGAGGAGAAGGTCAGAGGGGAGGAACCATGGGTGTTCTCCACCAATGAATTTTTCGACGTTGCAAGAAATCGAGAAAAGATGAATTGAGAAAGACCCAGAGAGATTGAGAGAACAGAGAGGGGTGAGTCAAATCGGATGATTCAAGGAACACACACTGTTAATGGATAGCTAAAACTACACAGCAGATGCAAACCACGTCATCCAAGCCTGTGGGAATTAACTCCAGTGATAACTAGCTAATCTAAGGAAATGCACTAACACACACACACACAGTTTACAAACGCTTATCAAAATGGTAGCTGGGCCAATCCATCAATCAACCACAACAAGCATCCACTCTCAAAATACAACAAAGCCAGGCACCAGGTCATTACAGGAGAAGCTAGTCTCTAATGGTCTTTCAGCGGTCGGCCATTATCTCTACTAACCCTGGGTCACTCGCATTGTGCAAGTGTTGGCTGCCATTTTTCAGATCCACCAACCCCTCGTTAATCCAGGGGTCTGGACAGCCGCGGGGTAGGGGGGCCCTGAGGTCAAACTCACAGATTAGCTGGGGACGCTGGTTACTGTAGGCAGCCAGAGGAGGGGGGGGAGGGAAGGATGGAGGGAGATTCAGGAAGGAGGGTCACTAAAGAAACCACGCTTCTTAGTCAAAATACTAAGGTAAAAGACCCCCCTTTAAAAGACGCCCCGCCCCTCCCATACACACACACAAGATGGAGGACTGTTGCTAAGGGAACCTAACAGTGCTATAATACAAGGTGTTGGATGATTCAGTTGTGTTGCTTCTACTACAGCTCTTCTACATACGGAAATAAATTCAGACAAAACAATGGCAGTAATTGACATTCAATAGATCCGTTTTGGTCATATCAAACACTAACCATCACCTAGAGTCCAGTAAAGGAGTTTGAACAGAACAAAAGACGAGGAGGAGGAGACTGACTTTCTGTAGACCTGTCAGTACGTTCTGTTATATTACCTGCCGGCGGGTCCGAAGTCTCCCCGGTCATACGGTGGCGGCCGTCCATAGGGGTCGTTGGGCCCGTTGGGGCCCCTGCCGTCCCCTCCAGGAGGGCCCCCCATGTTGTTGGGACCCCCAGGAGGAGGGAAGAACGCTGGGTTGACATGGGGAGCAGGTGGGGGGCCTCCGGGTCGGGGCCCAGGCATGTGTGGTGGGGGAGCGAGGGACAGTGGAGGTCCAAGGGGACCAGGTGGTCGAGGAGGAAAAAGACCAGGGGGTGGGGGGCCCTGTTGGGGGGGGTGGGGGCCCCGGAGGAGGGCCGAAGCCGTGTGGGGGAGGGCCAGGGGGGAGAGGACCCATGGGGGGCTGGCCGAACTGGCCGGGGAACATGACTGGGGGTGGGGGGCGGTCGCCGCGGTTGGGGGGGCCTTGCATGGGAGGGGGGAGGCCCTGTCCTGGGGGAGGGGGGCCTAGAGGGCCGGGGGGACCCAGGGGGCCAGGAGGGGGTCGAGGTGGGCCCTGCATACCACCTGGAACACAGAAACACAAAGCAGATCCTTCTTGAGTTTAGATTCACTACCAACTGTTTGAAAGCTGTTAAGTACATTAAAGCATTGTGGTGTCCCAGTGTCAGGAGGGGGCACCGAGCAGTTCCCAGTGTCAGGAGGGGGCACCGAGCAGTGCCCAGTGTCAGGAGGGGGCACCGAGCAGTTCCCAGTGTCAGGAGGGGGCACCGAGCAGTTCCCAGTGTCAGGAGGGGGCACCGAGCAGTGCCCAGTGTCAGGAGGGGGCACCGAGCAGTTCCCAGTGTCAGGAGGGGGCACCGAGCAGTTCCCAGTGTCAGGAGGGGGCACCGAGCAGTGCCCAGTGTCAGGAGGGGGCACCGAGCAGTTCCCAGTGTCAGGAGGGGGCACCGAGCAGTTCCCAGTGTCAGCAGGGGGCACCGAGCAGTTCTAGGAATCCAGAGACCGCAAACAGGGAACTCAAGGACTGTAGCAAATGTCTTAGTTTGGGTTTGTTTAATGAATGACTTATGGATAGGAATTGTGACATTTTATGGTGCATGACGTTTGGTGAGAAAGATGTGGAAAATGCTAAATGTGTGATCCTGTATGTTTCGGTCATTGCCTTAACGGCCACCTTGAATTAGTGGGATCAAAGTTAAAGCATGCTTAGAAGGCAAGGACTCAAAACAGAAGCCGTGAAAACTGACATTGTCCAACGTATAGGAATACATTTACATTTCTCTGGCTGTTTGAGACTAGGTGTCCTGTCAATCAAAATTAAAGATTTAGCGAGACCAACATTTTAGATTTTGCAAGATATTAGCAATGAAAGCCAAGAAGCAGTTGGCCGAGTATCAGGACAGAGCAGGCGGAGAGAGTCAGACAGAGCAGGCGGAGAGAGTCAGACAGAGCAGGCGGAGAGAGTCAGACAGAGCAGAGGGGACACAGTAGTCACGGGAGTAGTAAAGACCAGCTTGGTATGAAGCAGACAGGACAGACAGGTCAGACAGGACAGAGCAGGCGGAGAGAGTCAGACAGAGCAGAGGGGACACAGTAGTCACGGGAGTAGTAAAGACCAGCTTGGTATGAAGCAGACAGGTCAGACAGGACAGACAGGTCAGACAGGTCAGACAGGACAGAGCAGGCGGAGAGAGTCAGACAGAGCAGAGGGGACACAGTAGTCACGGGAGTAGTAAAGACCAGCTTGGTATGAAGCAGACAGGTCAGACAGGACAGAGCAGGCGGAGAGAGTCAGACAGAGCAGAGGGGACACAGTAGTCACGGGAGTAGTAAAGACCAGCTTGGTATGAAGCAGACAGGTCAGACAGGACAGACAGGTCAGACAGGTCTGGATGGCTGTTAAGTGTTCAGACATCTAAGACACCCCTCCTATACTCATTATGTTGACTAGCTTCAGGAGTGCTGGCCAGAACAGCCAATAGAAACAGAAAAAGGAACACAGCATTTAAAGATGGACAGTTGAGACCGAATGATCCATAACCCAGGACTTAAAGTGGGGGGGGGGGGGGCTTGGTTGGTCAGTCCGAGAGTCAGCCCAGGACTCCATAGACAGACAGAGGCCTTAATAAAGAGAACATGTACGCAGGGGGGAGAGGAGGCGGGGGTAATCAGTCTTATTTAATACATTAGCACTGTGAAGGGTTGCAAAATTCCAAAACATTACCAAAATTCCAAAAACAAATCCAGGTTGGACTGGATTTCCAACTGGGATTTCTGGAAAACCAGGATTTTTTTTCAGATTTCTGGAAAACCAAGAACTTCGGGAAGATTTGGGGAATTTTGTCAACCCTAGCACTGTTGTCAACAGGAGTCGAGGCATTTCACCTCTGGGTCGCCAATTCCCATCACGTCCCGGCGGGAAGCAATTGAAATTCATATCCATCAGGTGGCCTTCTTGGTGTCTATGGTTAATGAGTTCAGGTGGCCTCATCCCCGACCCTAGTGGGAGAAAAACACAATCACAACAAGGCTGGCGCCACAGAGGCCACAGGAAGAAGTCGCCAAAGCTAAAATAAATTAACTATTTATTTATTCGAAGGGGGGTAAAGATGTGGGCAAACTGGCTAAAACAAATGTTGAATATTACCCGCCCCCCCCCTCCCAACACAATCCAAGTACTTCACACAACTAGATTCTGACACCATTCTGAAAGCAAGGGGACAGAGAACAGGAGTCAGACTGTTTTGAAATGGACACATGTGTATAGAGATGGTAGGTTGGTGCTTTCCAACCAAGACGAAGTTAGAGCGTGGCCAATCCTTTCCACATATGCCCACTTGGAAGATAGGATAATATACAGACAGGAGACCCATCTTCAGTTCATTCTATGCAGTGCATACCACCAGTACTGGCCTGGCAGTCAGTGGAAGGTCCATTCACACAGCTTACAGCAAAGACACTGCCAGAAAGGAAGCCATTTCATTGGTTGTAGTCTGGGCACAGTTTCAATGGAACCAATTAAAATGGGCTTCCTTTCTGGCATAGTGTTTTTCATGCTATCTGCATGTTCCATTTAGTTGAATTTAAGACTTAACCTTTAAAATGCCACTTGGAATGAAATGTAATACTGATTTTGAGGTCTGCGCGTGCCACACACCTGCTTATATTCCCCTTCAGAAATGAGCCCATGTTGGCAAAAAGTAGTATTTTTAGGACTGGCTGTTTTTCCAGTGCCAAGACAGACATGAAAGTTAGCCATTTCATCTAGCAATTCAGGGAACACATGATGGCTCTTTTTTCATGTGCAACATGTCAAAATAAACAGATATTTTTTGTCTCTTCAGAGATGAATTTGCCTGCATGTTTTCTGTGTCTATTGACCTAGTCTATTCTCCACCTGAGGAAGTGGGAACTCAAGCCGGGGGGGTGGGGGGGGTTAAGACTTTTATTGGTTAACAACAGTAAGTCGTTGTTTTAAAAACTGTCTTTCCCGCAATTACATTTCAAAATGTTGCTCAACTGTCAGTAGCCTATGCTTGCGCTTATCAGAATGCATCTCTCCCTTTACGCCATGTGCAAAGGGTGGAGGGGGAGTGACGGCCCCTCTCCCAACGTGTGGCTGGACGGCCCCTCTCCCAACATGTGGCTGGACGGCCCCTCTCCCAACATGTGGCTGGACGGCCCCTCTCCAACATGTGGCTGGACGGCCCCTCTCCAACATGTGGCTGGACGCCCCTCTCCAACATGTGGCTGGACGGCCCCTCTCCAACATGTGGCTGGGACGGCCCCTCTCAACATGTGGCTGGACGGCCCCTCTCCACATGTGGCTGGACGTCCCCTCTCCAACATGTGGGCTGGACGGCCCCTCTCCAACATGTGGCTGGACTGCCCCTCTCCACATGTGGCTGGGACGGCACCTCTCCCAACATGTGGCTGACGGCCCCTCTCCAACATGTGGCTGACGGCCCCTCTCCAACATGTGCTGGACGGCCCCTCTCCAACATTGGCTGGACGGCCCCTCTCCAACATGTGGGCTGGACGGCCCCTCTCCAACATGTGCTGGACGGCCCCTCTCCAACATGTGGCTGGACGGCCCTCCCACATGTGGCTGGACGGCCCCTCTCCAACATGTGGCTGGACGGCCCTCTCCAACATGTGGCTGGGCGGCCCCTCTCCAACATTGGCTGGACGGCCCCTCTCCCAACTGTGGCTGGACTGGTGGCTGGACGGCCCTCTCCAACATGTGGCTGGACGGCCCCTCTCCAACATGTGGCTGGACGGCCCCTCTCCAACATGTGGCTGGACGGCCCCTCTCCAACATGTGGCTGGACGGCCCCTCTCCAACATGTGGCTGGACGGCCCCCTCTCCCAACATGTGGCTGGACGGCCCCTCTCCCAACATGTGGCTGGACGGCCCCTCTCCCAACATGTGGCTGGAACGGCCCCTCTCCCAACATGTGGCTGGACGGCCCCTCTCCCAACATGTGGCTGGACGGCCCCTCTCCCAACATGTGGCTGGACGGCCCCTCTCCCAACATGTGGCTGGACGGCCCCTCTCCAACATGTGGCTGGACGGCCCCTCTCCAACATGTGGCTGGACGGCCCCTCTCCAACATGTGGCTGGACGGCCCCTCTCCAACATGTGGCTGGACGGCCCTCTCCAACATGTGGCTGGACGGCCCCTCTCCAACATGTGGCTGGACGGCCCCTCTCCAACATGTGGCTGGACGGCCCCTCTCCAACATGTGGCTGGACGGCCCCTCTCCAACATGTGGCTGGACGGCCCCTCTCCAACATGTGGCTGGACGGCCCCTCTCCAACATGTGGCTGGACGGCCCCTCTCCAACATGTGGCTGGACGGCCCCTCTCCAACATGTGGCTGGACGGCCCCTCTCCAACATGTGGCTGGACGGCCCTCTCCAACATGTGGCTGGACGGCCCCTCTCCAACATGTGGCTGGACGGCCCCTCTCCAACATGTGGCTGGACGGCCCCTCTCCAACATGTGGCTGGACGGCCCCTCTCCAACATGTGGCTGGACGGCCCCCTCTCCCAACATGTGGCTGGACGGCCCCTCTCCCAACATGTGGCTGGACGGCCCCTCTCCCAACATGTGGCTGGACGGCCCCCTCTCCAACATGTGGCTGGACGGCCCCTCTCCAACATGTGGCTGGCGGCCCCTCTCCAACATGTGGCTGGACGGCCCCTCTCCACATGTGGCTGGACGGCCCCTCTCCAACATGTGGCTGGACGGCCCCTCTCCAACATGTGGCTGGACGGCCCCCCTCCAACATGTGGCTGGACGGCCCCTCTCCAACATGTGGCTGGACGGCCCCTCTCCAACATGTGGCTGGACGGCCCCTCTCCAACATGTGGCTGGACGGCCCCTCTCCAACATGTGGCTGGACGGCCCCTCTCCAACATGTGGCTGGACGGCCCCTCTCCAACATGTGGCTGGACGGCCCCTCTCCAACATGTGGCTGGACGGCCCCTCTCCAACATGTGGCTGGACGGCCCCTCTCCCAACATGTGGCTGGACGGCCCCTCTCCAACATGTGGCTGGACGGCCCCTCTCCCAACATGTGGCTGGACGGCCCCTCTCCAACATGTGGCTGGACGGCCCTCTCCAACATCTTGAAAGTGGCCTCCAGTATTATTTGACGTCCCATTGTTTTTCTTTGCCACGTGGCAACAATTAAGCAGCGGCACAATTCAATGGAAACACTGTAGTCATCTCCGTCACATTTTTTAAGACCTTTGAAAACTGACTTTAAGACTTACAAATGAATTTAAGACTGACTTTTTAAGGACCCGCGGACACCCCGGTTTTGGCCGCGAGCAGTGTGAACGGACCGACCCTGCCGCTGGAGTGAAGAGTACTTACCTGGGAAGTGTGGCGGTGGACCTCCGGGTCCGATGGGCCCAGGGAATCGCTCTCCTCCGGGGCCAGGTGGGCCAGGGAAGCGGCCCCGGCCCCGGCCCATGGGGAAGCCACCGCGGGGGCCCAAGGTGGGGGGTCCCGCCTTCCCATCGCCAGACATCTGCCCACCCGATGTACCTGGGCATAAAGGGAGAGAAGAGGGCGGAGAGAACATTCAAATCCCCAACTCATTGGGCTCACCCAATTAGGTCGTTCTGAGTGCTAAAACTCTAATTAATTAACTAAATCAACGTATTTATTCAAATCAAATGTGTACAATTAATTTTCTGGAATTTCTGCATTGACATCAGAGGCAGACCCAAGCCCCAATTACTTGGGTCCTGCTTCAGTGTATTTGGGTCTTCCCAGGTTATCAGACCTACTTTGTCAGTAAACCGTGCCGAAAAGACACAACTAATTTCTAATAATTATTCTAGAACTAATTGCCCGTCCCCCCGTGGGAGGCACGCAGGTTCACCTACTTTTCCGAGACTGCATCTCGAACTGGCTGAGGGACTGTTTGTTGCAGGAGGTAACGATGGGGTTCTGTCCGTGTAGCTCCCGTTTAGCAAGGTCCAGTAGCTTCCTAGAGGACGCGTCTGAGCCCACGCACACCAAGGCAAACCTAACGGGGGACACACCAAGCCACCAAAGTCACCATCTCTTTCTTTCCTTTTGGCTTTTATTTGGGTATTTCTTTCTGTGTTTGTCTTTAAAATAATTGAATAATGAAGCTCAGAGTACGGCTACCCGTGTGCAGTTCAGAGGTATTAGGAAAGTCATCCACAAAAACACTGGTCTGTTCAGAGTGTTAGCGTGTAATTTTAAGGATCATGAAAGACAAGGAGGAAGCTCACCCTTTACTCTGGCCGTTGGCTCTGTTCTCAAAGAACTTGATCTCCAGCAGGTCCTTAATGCCTATTGATCCAATGGCGTCTGTCAAATCTTCGTCTGTTGTCCACTGGAAGGGGGGAGCACTTTTTACATCAAGACCTTTGTCAAGAGACATTACATAATTGAGGCACACTAAGGGCTTGTTTCCCTGACCCTGATTAAGCTTATCCCTGGACTAAAAAGCACTTTCAATGGCGATTCTCAAAGACCCACTGAGCATGCTTTTTAACTCCGGAAGTAAACTTAATCTGGGTCTGAGTAACTGGCCCATTTATTTCATCTTTGTTATTCACCAGACGCTCTTATCCAGACCCACAACATACCCATGTGAGATTGCCTATGTACAGGGCGATCCTCTTGCCGGTGTACGTGTAAACCACGTTGGGAGGGGTGCTCTTGTTCCCCTCGGAGCCAGCAGGTGGGGGTAGGTTGTCCAGATAGTCCCGGTCCTCAGGTGCGTCTCCGTTATTGGCCGAAGGAGAGATAACATCGTCATACAGGTCTATCTGATCATGGACAGGGTAGTCTGATTCCTGTGGGGGGGGGGAAACGGACAAGAGAGAGCACATGAAGGTAAACCTTACATCACAGTCTGTCAATCAATAGTTGTGCTCCAGGTTGTCTTTAATACACTTTAAAGATTGCTCTTTCGTGTTAATGTTGGGTCCCACAGTGATATCAATAAAGACGACCTGGAATGTGTCCAACAACATAATAATAATAATAATAATAATATGCCATTTAGCAGACGCTTTTATCCAAAGCCACTTACAGTCATGTGTGCATACATTTTACGTATGGGTGGTCCCGGGGATCGAACCCACTACCCTGGCGTTACAAGCGCCGTGCTCTACCAATTGAGCTACAGAGGACCACATTGAGCTACAGAGGACCACATTGAGCTACAGAGGACCACATTGAGCTACAGAGGACCACATTGAGCTACAGAGGACCACATTGAGCTACAGAGGACCACATTGAGCTACAGAGGACACGTGTGATTGTCTGCGAGCAGAATGAGGTCTTAGCTGCTTTGCAGTTACACAACGTGTGATATTCAGGGCAGGAAATACAAAGAATAGAAGGCAAACAATGTGATCCACATTATCTAGCCAACATTTCAACAGTAACAGTTTATTGAGCTAGAGCTGGTTCTATTTTCAGTCCAACAGTTATATCATATCTGGCACAGTCCACAGTGTTAATGAGTTCCTAACAAACACTATTAGTTACTTTGCTTCGAGTCAACAACACAGAACTTGGATAAGTAAAACGTCCAAATGAGTGTTTGCAATATGCTGATTTGTTCAGTACAAATGGCCTGTGCTCTTACTGCTTTTAAAACTCACTCAATCTGCTTAAAAAATAGTAATATGCCAAGCACTTTAAAGGGATTTGGTTTTTGTGAACTGCATATTCACCTCCAGCACCGCCCCAACAACATGTGAAAACGTTGCATTTCTATATTCCGTATTAATAAAGAAAGGAAGGTAAGAGTTTCCAACGACGTCAACCAATTAGTAGGAAATGGCTCCTTCACAATTGGTTAAAAATCACGATGCACACAGATGATGTCATTAATAGGCGGCAGGTAGCTTAGTGGTTAAGAGCGTAGTGCCAGTAACAGAAAGGTCGCTGCTTCTAATCCCCGAGCCGATTAGGTGAAAAATCTGTTGATGTGCCCTTGAGCAAGGCACTTAACCCTAATTGCTCTTGTAAGTCGCTCTGGATAAGTGTGTCTGCTAAATTACTCAAATGTAAGAAAGAAAATGGAAACGCGCATCTTCCGCTATCTTTTTTCCTACAAAACATAGAAACGCACCATTTTCACATATATTGATGTTGGGGGTGGTGCTGGAGATCATGATTATGTCTTTGAATTTTTTTTTAAATGTCCCTTTAAAAAAAGTGCACAGATACACATTGAAAAGACTCCATAACTATGACCAACAGCATACATATTACATTTTAGTCATTTAGCAGACACTCTTATCCAGAGCAACTTTTTTCATACTGGCCCCCCGTGGGAATCGAACCCACAACCCTGGCGTTGCAAACGCCATGCTCTACCAACTGAGCTACACGGGCCCCAGCACTTTAGTCTACACACACTGAATCAAAGGAGTGCAGTTGGCAATCTTTGCAGAAAGCTGATATGCGAAACCATAGAGATATCTGCAATTCTATTTGTATGTGTGAACTGGGTCAAATATCCCCCACGTAACTTAACCAGAGCTAACATTGATCAATGAGAATCAAACTCATCTCAAAACGAATACAGTAGCATTTTCATCTGGCATCAGTACTGAATTTGAGCCGGATCCTGCCGTGGCCCTTCTCAGATTTGACTTTATTTGTTCTGGCACCTATTTGCCCAGATCCGGTACCTCTCTCGGCATGATTTATTAATTATTTCACTGTTCGCACTGTAGACATTATAATAACAGCGATCAGCATTAAATCAAGTTGCCTCCTCATCATTTCTCCCGCCCCCAAGAAAGACCATAATGTAAAAGCATGGTGATCCTTCTACGCAATCATCCTATCCTGCCACACTGATTCCAGACCTGCTCTCTTATTTGTACATAGAGGTTATGGGGAGGGCCAGTGGGGTAAGTAACTGATCTTGACACAGGTCTTGGTAGTGGTGGTCAGCTAGTGAAGAGGTCCCTACATAATCACGTCACGTAGCCTAGTCGTCTCCCTACTGAATTCTAATCGTGGGAAAGGCCCAATTTTATTTTTATTTTTTACAAAGGGTAACATAGTCAGCCCTCACAAAAGGCGCATTTTGTGGCAGGAAGCCTTGTAGACACCCAGGTTAACACTAAACAAAAACACTACAGCTAGTGTGACACTACAGCTAGTCTTCAGAACAGCCTTAGGAGGCTAAACATCACAGCCACATGCCCGCTCATGGCTTTGAGCAAGAAGGACTCTCAGGAGTTAAATGGACTTGACATGGGGAGAGTCAGCATGAGGTTTTGAAAAATAAGGCAGGGGAAAAAAAATGTCCTTTACCTTCACAGCACAAGTTTGTAATCTGAATATGTGCTTCATATTATCACACAGGCAGGAGGCCTATATATTATCATGTGTGTTCTGCTGTAGCCTACATTGATTTATTTTATTTGAAGTTATGTTCCAATATTGTGATATTTGTTCTACTGCTACATTGATGTCTTGAAAATTATATGAAATTCGAGTCTTGTAAGCCCCACAGCTGAGTGTGTGTGCATATGGCGGGTGTTCTGCAGTGTCGTCTAAAAATGTTGCTGTACCATTGATGTCTAGAAAATGAGGCTATAAGAAATTGGGAAACCCGCAGCTATACTCAAGTATGTGGGCATACTGCAATGACGTCTAAAATGCTTTGAATTAATTAGCACCTTGGAGAGTGCTGTCAGTTTCACCACCATAGATAGAAGGCTACTTGGCTGCTACGTTGTTTGACATTTTTTCTCTCTCGATGTGTTCCGGTACCTCAGATCCCCCCAGGTACCTCAGAGCCCCCCAGATCCCACCCCCCGGTACCTCAGAGATTCCCCCCCCCCCGTACCTCAGAGCCCCCCAGGTACCTCAGAGCCCCCCAGGTACTTCAGAGATTCCCCCCCCCCCCCGTACCTCAGATCCCCCCAGGTACCTCAGAGCCCCCCAGGTACTTCAGACCCCCCCGGTACCTCAGAGCCCCCCCCCCCCCCCCCCCCGCGCTCACTATGTGTTCCGGGACCTCCCGATTTAGAAATTAAGCACTGTCTGGCATCAACAAAAATGCATAAAAATAACTAACTAAAGTATCAGATTTAGAAAGGCAGTTTATTTATTTTTACAAAATCATTAATGTTTGTGCAATATGGTATTTTGAATACGTTATGTTTTTAGAAAAACGAGCAACACGCCAACATAACAGCTAACGTTAGCCTAGCCAGCAAGCAGGGGGAGTGACGCCGCGACGGAAAAGGGAAACTACAAACTAACCATCGATTCCCCCCAAAAAAAACTCATTAGCAAACAGGCCATATTGTTATATATTATTACCGAAACAGTTACACGGTAATGTGTAACTAGGTAGTTGAATACCAATATACGCTAGCGCATGACGGCAAACCAGGCCACGGCGAGGCCTTCCCCGCCACCCCGCCTCCAGTACAACAACCTCCTGTCATTAACAATGGAACGAGCACGTTGGCTTGCAAAGTCAAACGTGATATTTTACCTAGAAATGTATACATTAGCTAACAAACATGATCGAAAACTTTGACGTACACAACATCCACGTTACTATTTTTTTTTTTTTTTACATATTTGACAAGCTATTGCGTAGTTGCAATTCAAAAACGCTGCGGCGAACACAGACGACGCTTTGCAGGTCTCATCCGACGGCAGATAGCTCGGTTTAACTTTCAATAAGCATTTTCGCGAGATATTTTTTTTAGGCCCAAACCACAAATACGTCTATAAAGGTGTAGGATTTAAACAAATGTAACTGTTTGCATACCTGGTTGAAATCCTCTTCAACATCGGCGTAGATGTCGATGTGATCAACTCCGTCAGCCATTTTCCAGACCACCTCCTCCACTGATCGACCTGAACAAGACAAAATGCAAACAGGAAAGCAGAAAACGTCACATCTGGGGCCAATAATCAAATTATCACATTTTCTATTACAAACATTGCCAAATTGTTTGAATGACAGTAGTGTTTTGTCTGGGATACATGCAACTATGTACATTATGTAAAAACATGACGTTTATGCTTATTTTGTCCAAATGTTCTCTTACCCAATGGTTTATTGAAGACCAATTCCTATTACTGAGTATATAGTAGGCTACTTTATAAAAAAATATTATTGAAGATGATGATCTACTCTGTACTTCTGCATTGGATTGAGGAGTAGCGAGGGGTGTGCAGTGAGTTTGCACAATCTGCACAATACTCTTTTAGTTGATTTAGCTCATCCTAAATGCCGGATCAGTAGAGAGAGCAAAGAAATTGTACCAAAAGTGTAATCGCTGCCCCCCCGGGGATCAAAATCGAGTGCACCTTTTCTTTGCTGGGCGCGTCCTTACGTAGCTGCGTCACTCCGCTCTCTTCTTTCCCGGTGCGTTCACGGCTTCTGCGATCAACTCACAGAAATCATGGTAAGCGAACCTCTTTGTTCCGTTTATAAAACATTTTATTTGACGACATGATTGTAACCGTTAACCGTACACTGAGTAAAAGCAACGTGATCGTAAACTTGCAGTATCTTGCATGAATATGGGTTTTGTTCATTTCTTTAATTCTGACGGATGAAACATTGACAGTGGGGAAGCACATGGGCCCTGGACGCAGCAAACTAGCTAGCATGCTAAGTTAGCCGGTTAGCTAGTAGCGTCATGTGGTAATTTTTATGTGGATGGCATTAAGTGATCAACAAAAAAACCAATCCTGGTATTAGTCGATGTAGAAACAATTAATTTTCACCTTAAACTGGATAAGCTTTGAATGAACGTAGCAGTAGAAACGACGTTTTATATTTTTTTTAACAAACTGGCAACTTGCTATGGGGTGGAGCTAACTAACTAAGCTACATTGTCTCACGTCTGTATCCCTGGAGTTGTAGTTAGTTAGCTAGCTAGTTGTTGGGCTTGGCCATCTAACATTAGTATGACGCACCAGATTTCAACGTGTTCATGTTCTTGCACAATGACACAATAATGAAGGCTACATGGCTAGCTATACCGTTTGTCAAAATGCAGTTAGCTTGGGCCATAAAGCTTCTAGCGCTTTCTTAGGAGAAGTGGGTGGAGTCAGCAACTGGTCCTTGTTACAGCCTTAGCCCAATGCTACAGCCTTAGCCCAATGCTACAGCCTTAGCCCAATGCTACAGCCTTAGCCCAATGCTACAGCCTTAGCCCAATGCTACAGCCTTAGCCCAATGCTACAGCCTTAGCCCAATGCTACAGCCTTAGCCCAATGCTACAGCCTTAGCCCAATGCTACAGCCTTAGCCCAATGCTACAGCCTTAGCCCAATGCTACAGCCTTAGCCCAATGCTACAGCCTTAGCCCAATGCTACAGCCTTAGCCCAATGCTACAGCCTTAGCCCAATGCTACAGCCTTAGCCCAATGCTACAGCCTTAGCCCAATGCTACAGCCTTAGCCCAATGCTACAGCCTTAGCCCAATGCTACAGCCTTAGCCCAATGCTACAGCCTTAGCCCAATGCTACCAACCGTCTGTTGTTCATCCATCCAAGTGCATCTATGACCGTGTATGGTCGGCGATGTACATTTTTGACTTTGATAATAAGGCACGTTGTTGCTTTCCCTCCCCAGATTTGATACATATGTAAGCATGAGTCTAGACATTTCAATGTATAATTCACAAAACCTGTCACATTATGTCAGCAGCCCTTGGCTTCTTACACATGTTCTACATCTTGACACTACCATGATTATGGATATTTCTGTGACCTATAATGAATTGTCCTAGATATTGTCAAATCAAAACATTTAATTTTTTGACACAAGCATTCACCAGTTTGCCTTGCGTGGGGTATGACTACGCCAAGATTGCGTTGTCTGAAATCTTTAACCTGTCTCGCAGGCGTCCCTATCCATGGCCCCAGTGAACATCTTCAGGCAAGGAGCTGACGAGGAGAAAGCTGAGACAGCCCGTCTGGTGAGCTGAGTGCTCTGTGATGTTTACTTTATGTTATGTTAGTATATTATACTACATTAATTGTTGCTATTCTACTGTACCATTCATTTATAACAATGTTTTGTAATGTTGTCACGATACCAACATTTTACTTATGATACGATACCAGGCCAAGTATCGCGATACAACGGGGACAAAATGTCAGTGGCCTAGTGCCCTCCCTTCCCTCCTACGCTTGTTCCCATATTCTAAACATTCATTATGCACATGTGCTACACAAAAAAACATGTCACTGATATTCACACCTCTACTCAGTACGTCACGTATAATTTAACTTCACACTGTATAATAGAATACTGCATAGAATGGCTAATTTGCTCATATTTGCAAAGGCCTACCTGTGATTTAGGTGGAGGAATGGGAGGAAGGAATATACATGCATCATGATCTACAGGTCATTGTGGCAGTAAGGGGACAACACTGCATCATGATCTGCAGGTCATTGTGGCAGTAAGGGGACAACACTGCATCATGATCTGCAGGTCATTGTGGCAGTAAGGGGACAACACTGCATCATGATCTGCAGGTCATTGTGGCAGTAAGGGGATAACACTGCATCATGATCTACAGGTCATTGTGGCAGTAAGGGGACAACACTGCATCATGATCTACAGGTCATTGTGGCAGTAAGGGGACAACACTGCATCATGATCTGCAGGTCATTGTGGCAGTAAGGGGACAACACTGCATCATGATCTGCAGGTCATTGTGGCAGTAAGGGGACAACACTGCATCATGATCTGCAGGTCATTGTGGCAGTAAGGGGACAACACTGCATCATGATCTGCATGCATATAAGGAGATAGCCAATGTCTTGGAAGGTAATGCTATGCATGTGAACAGAAGGATTACTCCGACATTGATAAAATAATGAAGTCCATGTTTCAAGAAATCATGAAATGTGCTGCATTTTTGTGTAACATTCATATCAGTCACTTTAACCCTTTCATCTAGAGCACATACTGTGGGATACACTATTGACAGTGTCTTTTTAAAAATGAATTCACTTGGTAAATACTAGGTAATAATTTGTACTAAAAATAAATACTCGTAAGTAGTGGTAGATGGAAAGCAATAGACAATTGAGTCGGTTATGTACCGACTCACATAACTGAATTACAGTTTTAGGACCAAGTAGTTATTTCATAAAAAAATTCACTTTGACAGAAGTGTTAACAGTACAGTATATTTCCACACTAATGACCAGCTTTTTAGCAACTATCCAAAACCCTATTTGAGTCCCTCCTCAAGACCAGAGTAGTTGTTATCATAGAGAAGCTGCATGACGTCCCCATCCTCTAACTGGAATTATAAACTGGGTGGGTTGAGCCCTGAATGCTGATTTTTCTGAAAGCCGGGTATGACCCCAAAAATATTTTTGCTGTTCTAATTACGTTGGTAACCAGTTTATAATAGCATTAAGGCACCTCTGGGGGTTTTTGGTATATGGCCAATATACTACAGCTAATTGCTGTATCCAGGCACTCCGTGTTGTGTTTAAGAGAAGCCCTTAGCTGTGGGATGTTGGCCATATACCACACCTCCTCGGGCCTTATTGCTTAAATATGCCATATCAGTGGGACCACTGGATGTCACATGCACTATAGAGGGTAAGCTTCACTGAAGAGGGATACACAAAATGAGATGATAATAGGGAAGTCATGAGCAATACTTTGCAAGACAGTACATTACATTTATCACAAAGAGTGGTTATTATCGTGCCTAAGTGAACTGAAGTAAATGCTAAACATAAGATTTTTAACAAGAATGGAAAATCAGTTATATCAGCAATCGCTTGTGTATCCGGTTAATTGCAGTGGAATGTAAATGGCGTTATCTGTGAATGTCGACGCTTTTAGCCTCTATCAAAGCAGATTGAGTCCAAATGCATGCCAGCACTGCTTGCACTACCATGCCCACCACTTTGCTTGAAGACCAAGCACTCGTGTTATATTGCTCTTTGTTTGCGAAGGATATTTTCATTTTATTCAAGGAGAAGGAATATGAAAGGATTTTAAACATTCTTTTCACTTGGGTTAAATAGCTGTTATTCTTCGAGAAATGTATTTAAAATAAAATTTGTAGGCTTGAAATTATATTTTTAGGGCATGTCGAGTTGTACAAGCATGCAGATCTCACGTCGTTTTTTTCTTAGATTGTAAGTTAAAATCTAATTTGAATATAATGTAATATCACGTCTGGCACTAAGCAAACAAATGCCATGACTCTTTGAGAGTACAATGCACATTTGAAAATATCATCATGTGAGAAGGGTATGTGCAGCCAGACACACCTTGGCTTATCATAGACCTACTGTCCAGTTAGCAGGTTGTTAGCTAGCTAGGTAACATGACTGAACAACGTTGTTTGTTAATCAAACCAATAACTAGTGACCCGGGTTTAGTTTAAAATGGCCTGCGACATGGTTTGTGAAATTATATAAAATCTACACTTAACGCGCAGAAAGATGAAAGGTAGCTCCGGTAATATGGGGGTCTCTTTTTTGTTTTTGTTTTTGTTGGGTCGTTTGAGTTGGAGACGAGCAGTTTTCTTTGCTGTAAAGCTGCAGCATGCCTGTCACGAAACTGTGCTCTATTTGTACTGTCTGGCACTGAGTCTGCGTGACAGCAAACTTTCAGAGCCTACTCAGACTGGCCTGTACTTCATGAAATGATATACAATGTATCAACTTTGCTTGCTCTGCACACTGATCCACTGTATCAATATAACAACGAAAGACTCATTAGGGACTGCATCCCTGCTCGCCATCGAGGCTAAATTATATTTTAAGTACTGATGGAGGAATGGATGCGCAGGAAGAGCTGACGGAGAGAAGCAGGTGAGTGATGCTTGGAAGGGGATGCGGCTGGCTGACCACAGCTCCCACGCCTGATGTGTGCGTGAAAGTGAACTGGACATTGTTGGACCGGCACATACAAGAGACTAGCGGCTGCTGCTTAAAATATTCAACTGACTTTATTGACATTTCATAACAGGCGGCAGCTGTAGGGCGGAAAAATGTTGTATCATATGAAACATATTCTAAAAATGTTGGTATCGTAAGTATGATGTTTTGGTACCGTGGTACCTAATATGCCATGCAACACTAATGTTTTGTGTTTCCTCCAGTCCTCCTTCATCGGTGCCATCGCCATTGGAGATCTGGTGAAGAGTACCTTGGGACCAAAAGGAATGGTATGTGTCAACGGCAGACTTGCTGAGTGATATCAATTAATGATTAATACCAAAGTCCCATTTACGAGCAATTATAAAAACGCTAGAAAAATCAGGCCCTAAATGCGTAGCACGACTTGATAAACTCAACTAGACCAAATGTATCATCTGCATGGCTAAAACTCACATTGACTGTCCACCTTGCAGGACAAGATCCTTATCGGAGGTGGCAGGGAGGGAACTGTCACAGTCACCAATGATGGGGCCACCATCCTCAAAGCCATCGGAGTGGACAACCCCGCTGCCAAAGTGTTGGTTGGTGAGTGTTGATGTTCACCAGTTTAACTATGTAGTTGGTTGGTGAGTGTTGATGTTCACCAGTTTAACTATGTAGTTGGTTGGTGAGTGTTGATGTTCACCAGTTTAACTATGTAGTGGGTTGGTGAGTGTTGATGTTTAACTATGTAGTTGGTTGGTGAGTGTTGATGTTCACCAGTTTAACTATGTAGTTGGTTGGTGAGTGTTGATGTTCACCAGTTTAACTATGTAGTTGGTTGGTGAGTGTTGATGTTCACCAGTTTAACTATGTAGTTGGTTGGTGAGTGTTGATGTTCACCAGTTTAACTATGTAGTTGGTTGGTGAGTGTTGATGTTCACCAGTTTAACTATGTAGTTGTAGAGAAATACATGAAAGGCCTGCACATGGTATAATGCTGCTCCCCAAGGCAGTGCTATGCTGTCTTTCTGGACACTGTTGTTGTCCTTTAGTCCTCCTGTCTTCCAGACATGTCCAAGGCCGTCTCTGATCCTTTAGTCCTCCTGTCTTCCAGCCATGTCCAAGACCCTCTCTGATCCTTTAGTCCTCCTGTCTTCCAGCCATGTCCAAGACCCCCTCTGATCCTTTAGTCCTCCTGTCTTCCAGCCATGTCCAAGACCCTCTCTGATCCGTTAGTCCTCCTGTCTTCCAGACATGTCCAAGACCCTCTCTGATCCTTTAGTCCTCCTGTCTTCCAGACATGTCCAAGACCCTCTCTGATCCTTTAGTCCTCCTGTCTTCCAGACATGTCCAAGGCCCTCTCTGATCCTTTAGTCCTCCTGTCTTCCAGACATGTCCAAGACCCTCTCTGATCCTTTAGTCCTCCTGTCTTCCAGACATGTCCAAGACCCTCTCTGATCCTTTAGTCCTCCTGTCTTCCAGACATGTGCCAGACCCTCTCTGATCCTTTAGTCCTCCTGTCTTCCAGCCATGTCCAAGACCCTCTCTGATCCTTTAGTCCTCCTGTCTTCCAGCCATGTCCAAGACCCTCTCTGATCCTTTAGTCCTCCTGTCTTCCAGACATGTCCAAGACCCTCTCTGATCCTTTAGTCCTCCTGTCTTCCAGCCATGTCCAAGACCCTCTCTGATCCTTTAGTCCTCCTCTGATCCTTTAGTCCTCCTGTCTTCCAGACATGTCCAAGACCCAGGATGATGAGGTTGGAGACGGCACAACCTCTGTCACAGTACTGGCTGCTGAGCTGCTCAGGGTAAGAGTGGATGATTACTTAACCACTTTAGCACATCTAGCTAATACTGTATTTCACATAGCTATCTACTTGTGAAGTGATTAACTCTTCGAAGTAAAACCATTATCACCACCAGCTAAAGTGCATTGCTTTGGTAACTATTCCTTTAGCTATCAATGCTCTAGTAAGAAATGCTTGTTTCCCGTTTGCAAAACGTTTTTCTACGGTGTACCCAAATGAATACAACCCTGGTGTCTGTCTTTTAGGAAGCTGAGCTCCTCATTGCCAAGAAGATCCACCCCCAGATCATCATCTCTGGCTGGAGGAAGGCAACCCAGGCAGCCCGGGAGGCCCTGAAGGAGGCTGCTGTGGACCATGGGTAGGCCTACACTGATGAAGCATTTCTAGAATATAATGGCAGGTTTAACTACGAGGTAACTAGCACAGAACTGAACTCGGCTAATGTCATGAGATGTTATGAGTTTTTAATAAACTCTTACATAGAAGCGTGATTACCCATCCAGAGCCATAAAGAAAGACTTCACACATCACTTTGCTAAGCTGTGAAAATGACCATCCCTCCCCCTTCTCAGTAACGACCAGGTGAAGTTCCAGGAGGACCTTCTGAACATCTCCCGCACCACCCTGTCTTCCAAGCTGTTGACCCACCACAAGGACCACTTCGCCAAGCTGGCCGTGGAGGCTGTGCTCAGGCTGAAGAGCTCAGGCAACCTGGAAGCCATCCACGTCATCAAGAAGCTGGGGGGCAGCCTCATCGACTCCTACCTGGACGAAGGTGAGACGACTGGGGGGGTGCTGATGCGTGTTCTGCCTCTGACAGAAAACGGTAGTTGGTCTCATCTGGGTCGTATTCATTAGGTACCAAACGGAAGAAAACTGACTGAAAACGGGGAGGTATTACCTGAAGTTGACCAATAAGAAACACAGTTTTTTTCCCCCACACGTTGCAAAACCTTTGCTACGGTGTGACCTAATGAATACGTCCAGAGATCTCTAGTCTGACCCAGTGCTCTTGGAGGATTGAGAAGGTTTAGCAGCTTCATACTGTGCTGTTATAACTGGTTAATAACCTCCTAAATCAACATCGGGCCGATGCAACAACTGGCTATATGAGACGGTCATTACAGCTAATGTTGCGTTTGTGCACAACTAGTGTACCGTATGTACTAATATATGTATATATATGTGTGTGTGTGTATATATATATACACACACACACACACATATATTATTATATATATATATATATACACACACACACATATATTATTATTATTATTATTATATATATATATATATATGTGTGTGTGTATATGTATATATATATATATATATATATATATATGTGTGTGTGTGTGTGTAAAATAAACAAACCACTCTTGGTTAGAGGACAGATTCTTCAAACATCTACTCTGTATGGTGTCTAATGTAGCTTCATGTGTTTCTTTGTTCTCTTTGTAGGATTTCTGCTGGACAAGAAGATTGGTGTGAATCAGCCCAAGAGGCTAGAGAACGTTAACATTCTCATCTCCAACACTGGCATGGACACTGATAAGATCAAGGTTGGTCTTGTTATATGCTTTTCTCTTGGGGTTACAGACGGTCAATTCAGGATCCATTCAGGAAGTAAACTGAAACTCCCATTTCCAAATTTTTTCTCTTTTGAAAAGCAACAAGGAACATTTTGAATTTCGCCTTTTACAGAATCAGAATTAAATCCGTCCCCCCGATACTCTCACCTCCTTATTAGCCTCTAAGAAGTGTCGTGGAAACGTATGAAAATTCCCGTCCCGTTTCTAACCAACCGGCTGTGTGATCCGCTGTCAGATCTTTGGCTCCAGAGTGCGTGTGGACTCCACGGCCAAGGTGGCGGAGATCGAGGCGGCTGAGAAAGAGAAGATGAAGGAGAAGGTGGAGCGGATCCTCAAGCACGGAATCAACTGCTTCATCAACAGGTGCAAATCACATTTTTATTTGTCACATGTGCGTGTTTAGCAGATGTTATAGCGGGTGTAGCGAAATGCTTGTGCTTCTAGCTCCGACAGTGCTGTAATATCGAACAATTTCACAACATGTACCCAATATACACAAATCTAGGTAAGGAATGGGATTTAAGAATATATACATATATGGACAAGCAATGACAGAGCGGCATGGACTAAGATACAGTAGAATAGAATACAGTAGAGAATACACACTTAATAAGTAGAAGTACACCCATTCAACAAGGTGTTTCCAGCATGCGTGGGTGAGTTGAGTCATTTAGTAACCAATAGTGATGGATCAACAGACAGCTGATCTACAACTACCCAGAGCAGCTGTTTGCTGCAGCGGGTGTCATGGCCATAGAACACGCCGACTTCTCAGGAGTGGAGCGCCTGGCGCTCGTCACCGGGGGAGAGATCACGTCTACCTTCGACCACCCTGAGCTGGTGAAGTTGGGCCACTGCAAGCTGATAGAGGAGGTGATGATCGGAGAGGACACCCTCATCCACTTCTCAGGAGTGGCCATGGGTCAGTGATGATACAACATTACAGGCTGATTTAGAAATGATTTATAGTAGGACAATGGCTTGATGGTCAGACTTTGTCTTCATAGTGTTTTCTCTGATTGCAAGTACTGACCATGTTTCTTTTTTTCTCTTGGTTTCCCTCTCTTCCTTCCTCTCTTCCTTCCTTCCTTCCTTCCTTCCTTCCTTCCTTCCTTCCTTCCTTCCTTCCTTCCTTCCTTCCTTCCTTCCTCTCTTCCTTCCTTCCTTCCTTCCTTCCTCTCTTCCTTCCTTCCTTCCTTTCTTCCTCTCTTCCTTCCTTCCTTTCTCTTTTATTGTTTTTCCTCTCCCAGGTGAGGCGTGTACGGTGGTGCTGCGAGGAGCCACACAGCAGATCCTGGATGAGGCTGAGAGATCTCTCCATGACGCCCTCTGTGTCCTGGCTCAGACCGTCAAGGAGACGCGCACCGTCTACGGAGGAGGTGAGGGGCTATACACACTGCCCATTTACGTGGATACCGTGGGGGGGAAATAGTCCCCCTGTACTGTCTGAACCCACTGTGAGAATAACCATGCTGCTGTCCCCTCCAGGCTGCTCTGAGATGCTGATGGCTAAGGTGGTGACAGACCTGGCCCTCAGGACACCAGGCAAAGAGGCTGTGGCCATGGAGTCCTTCGCCAAAGCTCTTAGAATGCTGCCCACCATCATCGCAGACAACGCCGGTTACGACAGTGCGGATCTGGTGGCCCAGCTGAGAGCTGCTCACCAGGAGGGGAAGACCACCATGGGTCTGAGTGAGTGCAGTCTACTATAGCTGGACTCCTAGATGTTTCAGACCTAGCTTTGGCCTGTGTCTCATTCTCCTTCCTGTTTGTGACCTGTTACTTTTTTCTTCTTCCCATCATTTATTTGAACGGGGGCCAGATGAATTAAAAACAGATTTGAATGCTCAAGTCGGATGCATGGCACCATCACACTTAGGCTTATGTCTCTGTCTGTTCTCTGTCCCTCAGATATGAACCAGGGCACCATTGGTGACATGTCAGAGATGGGGGTGACCGAGAGCTTCCAGGTGAAGAGACAGGTTCTGCTGTCTGCTGCGGAGGCTGCAGAGATGATCCTCCGTGTCGACAACATCATCAAGTCCGCTCCCAGGTGAGGACAAACACCCTGCACGTATCTTTTATTGTTCCAGATATCCCACAATCCTTGCAGTAGGTACAGTCCAAATACCTGACTTATACCTCCATTCTTGGCATGCACGCCGTCTCCCTGTTCACCTGTACTGTATGTTATGGAGGGGTAACAGGTCCAGTGTTTTCGCTGCCAGAATGTTCCCTGTCTTCTGGTTCTATCCTCAGTGGCTGGTTCATTGTGATAGGTCAAGTCTACAGCTAGCAGTCACTAGGGTAGAGAGTCATTGTTATCCCAATCTGCTTTGCAGTAGGCTGTCAAAAATACCACTTGCAAGTGCAGTTGTTCTCATTTTGTAAGTTGATCGTTCGATTACCTCTCTGAAATGGTGAGTAGGTTGTTTCATCCCTTGAAAACATTTGTCATCCTCCTTTTACTGATTCCTCCCCCTTTCCCCTTGCAGGAAGCGAGTACCAGACCACCACCCCTGTTAATACCCCCAGGAGGAAGAGGAAGAGGAGGGTGAGGAAGAGGAGAGCGGGGTAGCAGGAGTTGCTGGTAGGGGAAGGGGAACAGAGAAGCCTGTATTTATGATACTCCTGTCCAAGGCTACGTACCGTACGTCACTTCAAAATAAAAATCCTCATCTTTTCTGTACCGTACCTCAAAAATAAAAGCTTCAGTCTGGTTTTGGTTAGTGTAAATCTAAACGCTCCTTTAGTCCGTTGGGGTGTAATGCTGTTATGAAGCACTGCAGAGGCTAGACCGTCAACATACTTGATGGCTCATGCATATGGCAGTATGGGCATGTTTACTGATATTATAATAAAAACTCACTGAATCCATGTCTGAGGAATGTTTTATGCCTTGTGAGCCTTATTTTGAAATGTGTATTTAGAAGACTTATACATCTACTATAACATTATATTAAGAGTATTCATGTGCTATAACATATTAAGAATATTGATGTACTATAACATATTAAGAGTATAGATTATGATGTGTACTATGTTACGTCTTGGATCACTAAAAAAATACTACTTTTACATTACCGTGTAGTTTACCAATAAAATGGTCTGACGGTGATGTGGACGTACTCTGTATACATATCCCGAAATAAAGAAATTCTTACAACAACAAAAAATTATAAAAGTTAGCAAGAATAGATAAGATCTTGCTACCATGGGAAGGAAAATGCCTGTCTGGAAAAAATCACCCTGATAAACTCTCGTCATATCCCAGTTTACCAATTTGCTTATGGTCTTGCCTACACGTAGCGACCGGTTAATTAAATTATATGAGCAAAAAAGATTCAATTTTATTTGGAACGGCAAGCCAGACAAAATTAAACGGGCCTATTTATATAATGAATATGAATTTGTGGGGGTAGAAATTTATTTAAATATTCAAGCATTACACCTCTCACTAAAGGAGTCAATCATACAAAAGTTATACTTAAATCCGAACTGGTTCTCTAGCAGATTAGTAAGAATGTCTCACCACATGTTCAGGAATGGCCTTTTTCCCTTTATTCAGATTACAACCTCTTTCGGTTATTTGAAAATTAAATAATCTCCAGAATATTGCTATTTTTAAAACATGCCATAGAAAGTTGGTTGCAATTTCAGTTGAATCCACCAGAAAAGACAGAACAAATAAAACATATTGTGGTTCAAACTCAAATATACAACAACAAAAAAAGGTTTAATCTTTGTAAATTATAGCATAAATAGGACTGGGTGGAGTTATGTCACACATGCAGCTAACAAAAATATATGGAGAAGTCTGCTCTACCCAAAATTACAACCAACTGATTGCAGCATTAACCACAAAAAAGAGGAAGGGGGAATGCCTAAGGAACTTGTCTGTTGGCCCTGCAATAAAGACCCAAAACTGTGATAAAGTGTACCAGTTTCGTTTTAAGGACCAATAAATTGACAGCTGTGCCATATAGATTGCAAAATAGTTGGGAAGAGATTTGATGTACCGATTCCATGGCACATGGTTATGAACTGATAAGCAAAATGACGCCGGATACAGAACTTAGAATATTTCAATTAAAATTATACATAATTCTTGCAACCAATATAATGATACAACCATCCCAGCTCTGCAGATTTTGCTGCGATGAGACCGAATCATTCGATCATTTGTTTTGGTACTGTCCATATGTAGCTTGTTTTTGGTTGCAGGTCCAGGAATGGCTGAATAATTGCAACATTTACCTGGAGCTAACTGCAGATGGCACTACTGGGTTAAGTCATAGACAATTGGTCAATAATATAATACTTTTAGCAAAAAATGTTTCTTTAAATTTACAATCTGTAGAAACTATGAGAATAGGAAGGTTCAGAACTTTTGTGGAAACAGCACAAGTTAAAAATATATGGTCAATAGAAATCAAAATGGATGGGAGGGGTTGAGGGTATTTGTATTTATTATGGGCCCCCATAAGGGTAGCGAAAGGATAGGAGTAAAAAACAAAAGATAACTATTGTAAAATAGACTGTGTCTGTAAAATATATATATATAGTATGTATAAGCTGGAAGTAGAAGCCTAAGTGTTGTCCATTAGTTTACTCCAATTAGGGGAGGAGTGGTAGGGTTAGTGGAAAATATATTTTTAAAAGTTATGTACAGTTGAAGTCGGAAGTTTAAATACACCTTAGCCAAATACATTTAAACTCTGTTTTTCACAATTCCTGACATTTAATCCTAGCAAAAATGCCCTGTCTTAGGTCAGTTAGGATCACCACTTTATTTTAAGAATGTGAAATGTCAGAATAATAGTAGAGAGAATGATTTATTTCAGCTTTTATTTCTTTCATCACATTCCCAGTGGGTCAATTAGTATTTGGTAGCATTGCCTTTAAATTGTTCAACTTGGGTCAAACGTTTCAGGTAGCCTTCCACAAGCTTCCCACAATAAGTTGGGTGAATTTTTGCCCATTCCTCCTGACAGAGCTGGTGTAACTGAGTCTCCTTGCTCGCACACACTTTTCCAGTTCTGCCCACAAATGTTCTATAGGATTGAGGTCAGGGCTTTGTGATGGCCACTCCAATACCTTGACTTTGTTGTCCTTAAGCCATTTTGCTACAACTTTGGAAGTATGCTTGGGGTCAAGTATGCTTGGGGGGGGGGGATTACTTTATCCTATCCCAGGTATTCCTTAAAGAGGTGGGGTTTCAAGTGTCTCCGGAAGGTGGTGAGTGACTCTGCTGTCCTGGCGTTGTGAGGGAGCTTTTTCCACCATTGGGGTGCCAGAGCAGCGAACAGTTTTGACTGGGCTGAGCGGGAACTGTGCTTCCGCAGAGGTAGGGTGGCCAGCAGGCCAGAGGTGGATGAACGCAATGCCCTTGTTTGGGTGTAGGGACTGATCAGAGCCTGAAGGTAAGGAGGTGCCGTTCCCCTCACAGCTCCGTAGGCAAGCACCATGGTCTTGTAGCAGATGCGAGCTTCAACTGGAAGCCAGTGGAGTGTGCGGAGGGGCGGGTTGACGTGAGAGAACTTGGGAAGGTTGAACACCAGACGGGCTGCGGCATTCTGGATGAGTTGTAGGGGTTTAATGGCACAGGCAGGGAGCACAGCCAACAGCGAGTTGCAGTAATCCAGACGGGAGATGACAAGTGCCTGGATTGGGACCTGTGCCGCTTCCTGTGTAAGGCAGGGTCGTACTCTCCGAATGTTGTAGAGCATGAACCTGCAGGATCGGGTCACCGCCTTGATGTTGGCGGAGAACGACAGGGTGTTGTCCAGGGTCACGCCAAGGCTTTTTGCACTCTGGGAGGAGGACACAACGGAGTTGTCAACCGTGATGGCAAGATCATGGAACGGCAGTCCTTCCCCGGGAGGAAGAGCAGCTCCGTCTTGCCGAGGTTCAGCTTGAGGTGGTGATCCGTCATCCACACTGATATGTCTGCCAGACATGCAGAGATGCGATTCGCCACCTGGTTATCAGAAGGGGGAAAGGAGAAGATTAGTTGTGTCGTCTGCGTAGCAATGATAGGAGAGGCCATGTGAGGATATGACAGAGCCAAGTGACTTGGTGTATAGCGAGAATAGGAGAGGGCCTAGAACTGAGCCCTGGGGGGACACCAGTGGTGAGAGCACGTGGTGCGGAGACAGATTCTCGCCACGCCACTTGGTAGGAGCGACCTGTCAGGTAGGACGCAATCCAGGAGTGAGCCGCGCCGGAGATGCCCAACTTGGAGAGGGTGGAGAGGAGGATCTGATGGTTCACAGTATCAAAGGCAGCAGACAGGTCTAGAAGGACAAGAACGGAGGAGAGAGAGTTAGCTTTAGCAGTGCGGAGAGCCTCCGTGACACAGAGAAGAGCAGTCTCAGTTGAATGACCAGTCTTGAAACCTGACTGGTTTGGATCAAGAAGGTCGTTCTGAGAGAGATAGCAAGAGAGTTGGCTAAAGACGGCACGCTCAAGAGTTTTGGGGAGAAAAGAAAGAAGGGATACTGGTCTGTAGTTTGACATCAGAGGGATCGAGTGTAGGTTTTTTGAGAAGGGGTGCAACTCTCGCTCTCTTGAAGACGGAAGGGACATAGCCAGCGGTCAAGGATGAGTTGATGAGCGAGGTGAGGTAAGGGAGAAGGTCACCGGAAATGGTCTGGAGAAGAGAGGAGGGGATAGGGTCAAGTGGGCAGGTTGTTGGGCGGCCGGCCGTCACAAGTCACAAGATTTCATCTGGAGAGAGAGGGGAGAAAGAAGTCAAAGCATAGGGTAGGGCAGTGTGAGCAGGACCAGCAGTGTCATTTGACTTAACAAACGAGGATCGGATGTCGTCAACCTTCTTTTCAAAATGGTTGACGAAGTCATCCACAGAGGGGGGGGAGGGGGAGGAGGATTCAGCAGGGAGGAGAAGGTGGCAAAGAGCTTCCTAGGGTTAGAGGCAGATGCTTGGAATTTAGAGTGGTAGAAAGTGGCTTTAGCAGCAGAAACAGAGGAAGAAAATGTAGAGAGGAGGGAGTGAAAAGATGCCAGGTCCGCAGGGAGTCTAGTTTTCCTCCATTTCTGCTCGGCTGCCCGGAGCCCTGTTCTGTGAGCTCGCAATGAGTCGTCAAGCCACGGTGCAGGAGGGGAGGACCGAGCCGGCCGGGAGGATAGGGGACATAGAGAGTCAAAGGATGCAGAAAGGGAGGAGAGGAGGGTTGAGGAGGCAGAATCAGGAGATTGGCGGGAGAAGGATTGAGCAGAGGGAAGAGATGATAGGATGGAAGAGGAGAGAGTAGCGGGAGAGAGAGAGTGAAGGTTCCGACGGTGCATTACCATCTGAGTAGAGGCAGAGTGAGTAGTGTTGGAGGAGAGCGAGAGAGAAAAGGATACAAAGTAGTGGTCGGAGACGTGGAGGGGAGTTGCAGTGAGATTAGTAGAAGAACAGCATCTAGGTAAGATGAGGTCAAGCGTATTGCCTGCCTTGTGAGTAGGGGGGGACGGTGAGAGGGTGAGGTCAAAAGAGGAGAGGAGTGGAAAGAAGGAGGCAGAGAGAAATGAGTCAAAGGTAGACGTAGGGAGGTTAAAGTCACCCAGAACTGTGAGGGGTGAGCCATCCTCAGGAAAGGAACTTATCAAGGTGTCAAGCTCATTGATGAACTCTCCAAGGAGAGACAGAACGCGTCTCCTTCCTGAGTGGTATGACAGCTGCGTGGTCCCATAGTGTTTATACTTGCGTACTATTGTTTGTACAGATGAACGTGGTACCTTCAGGCGTTTGGAAATTGCTCCCTTGGATGAACCAGACTTGTGGAGGTCTACAATGTCTTTTCTGAGGTCTTGGATGATTTATTTTGATTTTCCCATGATGTCAAGCA